TGCTGCTGCTGCTGCACCTCCTGCTGCTGCTGCTGCTGTTGCTGAGGCACCTGCGGCTGCTGCGGCTGCTGTGGCTGCTCTTCCTGTTTGACTGCCTCCTGCTCATCCTGTTCCTCCTGCCCATCACCACCCCTCTGCGCCACACCCTCTCCTGCTTCGCCACCAGCCAGCACCCCTCGACCAAGTCCCAGGAACCGAGTGAGTCGCAGCACACGCAGCGACTTGCATCCAGCAGCCAGCGCCTCCACTGCGGGCCCGCTGCGGTGCACACAGAAGGACGGCACCAGGCACAGCTCCTCCAGGCTCGGGCAGTGCCGAGCCAGACTCTCCAGTGCGGCGGCTGTGATCGGGTAGGTTGGGCAGGCTGTGTGGACTGGGAGCGGCGGTGGTGCTGGTGCACGAGGGGCGAATAGAGGAGGAGGGTTTGCTGCAGCAGCAATACTAGCTACACCAGGCGCAGCAGCGGCGGCGGCAGCGACCGCAGCAGGAGACGCAGAAGAGAGGGCGAAGGGGGAGGACGCGGGGAGGGGAGACGGGCCAAGGGTAGATGCAAGGGCTACAGCTGATATGCCTGCGGTTGCAGCAGGTGGACAAGGCACATACTCATCCAAACCCTCGATATCCACTTGCTCAACCTCGGCAGCGCCCGCCGCTGCTGCAGCTGCTGCTACCGTTGCCTCTGAGACTACTGCTGCTGCTGCTTCTGAGCCAGCAAATGCGTCCCAAGGGCCATCCACGACCGCGTCCTCAGTGTCTCCAATGCCATCCCCATTAGCAACCCCCCCATCCGCCACCCCATCCGCGTCCCCCTCGTCGCTGTCGTTGAGGTCATGAGCCACGTCTTCAATGCGCAGCACACGCAGAGCCGGGCACCCGCGCGCCACACTCGCGATCCTGCACGCCCAGCAGCGGGAGGGGTGGGGGGGAGTGGGATGGTGTGGGATGGGATGGGATGGGATGGGATGGCACAGGGCAAGCGACGCGGCAGAGGGTGAGACAAAAAACTGGAATAACGGATTCAAGGGAGCGTGACAGGATCAACAGGAGCGGAGCAAGTGGTTGGAGTGGGTGAGGCGCGGTGGAGAGGAGTGATAAATGGGAGTGGTAGAGACCATGGCAGTGAAGGTGAGATAAGGACAACCAGCAGCACTCCTCCCACAGGCTTTAATCCATTGTCATCCCTGTCACTGACCCAATCCCAATCCCCCGAATCCCAACCCCAATCCCCACAACCATGCGCATCATCACCCACATACACCCAAACCATCTCCTTCCTTCCCAAACCATTCTCCTTCCCAACCCATCCTCATTCCCAAACCAAGCGAGCGGCATGGCTCTTGGCCGGCAGCAGTGCAGCTGCCCACAGGCAAGCCCAGTCCGCTGCCAGGCCTATTCCGTTGGAATGGGGACGCCGCAGCTGCTGCTGCGGGCAGTGTTCGGAGGGGGCCAACCCGCAGCCCCGACAGAGGCAGCAGCGCAAACGCAATCACCAGCCGCCCACGACGGGCGAAGCAGAAGAATCGATTTAGAACGGGCAGCGCTAGTCATTTCAGGGTGCGGGTAGCTGGGGGGGCAGCTGGCAGCCTGAATGGCATCATTGCGACGGCCATGGCTCTTTTCAGGCGCCAGCTGCAGTGTGCCAAGGGACACGCAGTGCGCACACGGACAGTCTTGTTCTTGAGGCGCAAACAACAATTGCCACAAAACAGTTGATAAACAACGGGCGGCTGCCACGCAACAGCGCCCTCTGACGCCAATTATAATTTGGTTCGATTTTGACACTTGACTCAAGCTCAATGAGCGAACGCATGCGCATCGCGAGAGAAAACGAAGGGTTTGAAAATAGATGAGAGGCGGCACAATGCCATACTACTGTGAGCTAAGGGATTAGCGACACTACGTACCCCATGTCAGTGACGCCACCATCCGCCATCGCGAAACTCAGCTCCTCAAGGCCCGGAAAAGCACCCCGTCCAAACACCTCTAACGCGTCATCTCTTAACGGAGCAGGCCCGCCCAGCAGGTTCAGCACGCGAATCCTCCCCAGCTTGTAATCGCTCAGCTGCTTCGGCAACTCGTTAAAGTCACAGTGCCTGCTCCATGAGAGGTCGATCGAGTCGACTTTAGGGCAACGGGACACCAAACTGCTGACGTGGCGCGCCTCCAAACCCTCGTCCATGCCATCCCAGTGGCCAATCACGATGTTCTCCAGCTTCGGCCAGCACTGGCGCACGTATTCCAAGCCAGATGGGCTGACGTTGGCTCGGACGCGGCGGAGGTTCGGAAACGACGTTCGGAAGACCTGCCGAAGTTCTTCTTCCGAACCTGGCCAATCAGGGTGGACATCAGCCAGGTCCAGGTCCGTCACCGAGTCGAAGCACGTCCCCAGGCTCGGAAGGTCGCTGAGGCTTCCGCGCAGGTGTAGCTGGGTACGCGTGGCACGCTCCCATTGGCGCCAGGCCCGGCAGACGAGTGCGCAGCAACCGCGGTCTCTTGGTGCGTCGACGAGGGAGACAATAACGCGGACAAGCTCGGAGGGAAGAGAGGCGAGAGAGGGCTTGAAAGAGGACCCCCGAGAGTGGCACGGCTCAGCGTCAAGAAGAAGATGCGACGAATCAGCGCGATCGTGGGAGAAAGAAGGCGCGGAAGAGCGTAACTGGTGAAAAAACTGCCCCTTCTCTTTCACTCCCTCCTCCTCCGTCAATCCTTCTGTCTCCTTGGGATTTTCGAGGGGCGAAAAACGACCTTCCAGTCGGCGAACCTTGCTCGGCGGGGCAAAAGATTCGGAACTCAGGGCACGGAAATGACTGCTTGATGCTGATGAGGATGCGGTAGAGTCAATTGTCACTGAAGAGTTGATGTTGCTCGGTAAAGCAGCATTCTGTAACGAGGATGAAGACACGATCAAGGAAGAGGTCATGATGGTTCAAAGAGTCTGGCGGAAAACTAAAACAGCGTATTTCTCTGCGTCGTATCACTCTGCGTAAGTGTTTCTTTTAGCAGCTGAGCCCCCTCTCGAGAACAAGGCTGCCACCAAGAACGCCTGCGACCAGCACGTCTGACTTCACCACACGCCATGCGTCGCAACCATTGTATCCCAGACGAGAGGCGAGGCGACCGCGAGGCAATAGGCAGCTCATCCTGTCCGTTCGAAGAGAGAGCCGTATGAATGTAAGAAATCAAGCGCGGTTGCGGTTCCCAGAATCCAACGCATTCGCAGAATCCATAAATGGCACTGAAAGCCGGAAGTTTAGGGAAGTCTTAGAAGATACGGAGCGCCGGGAAACTAATCTAGTGCGAACGTGTTCTAAGGTAGTCTAGGGAAGAGGCACGAGCGATTTCTAAAGCGAATACAGTGCGAGGGTAGCAGCAACGGTACTCCCTAGAGGAAGACTCGGAAACGAAATCATGACTGGAGACATGACGTGAACCTAAACGACCCGTCCTACCGTCGTCGGCACGCGGAAAAGGTGAACTAGCTGCTGCTAAGGGAGCTATCGCGGGCTATTTGGTAGACATGGAAAAAAAGGAAAACGCGGCAGATTTGTATGCGTGATCCATTGGGAAAAGTGGTGGTAAGAAGGATGCGTGGTGGATGTGGAGGAAAGAGGCGACGAAGAGCGAAGCAGAAGAAGTGTGAGCCCAATTCAAGGAAAGAACGAGGACGGGGAAGGAGAACGAGAAGGGGGTCTACGGCAAGCCCAGACACACGCAAGAGGCTGACAGCGGGTGAACACGATACGAGCTGAGGACGTGATTAGCTGAGGATGTGGGTCAGAGCACGCCGAAACCTGAGTGTCTCAGCCGAGACTCGGGTATCTCTTTACGCAACGTGACAATGGTTGCTTGAGTCAGACGAAAGCAAATCCAAGGTTTTGGCTGATTCCAATTTTGAAGAGTTGGACTTCCAAACGGCAATAGCCACGAGTTAAATTCTTCAAGCGTAAAATACTCGGCACCAATTAGTAGGTTGTGGACAAAGCGCGGTCTTCCGTGAGTTAGCAAACACGCAAGCAAACCTAAGACAGACAGGAATAGAAGCATGCAGCAGCCTTGAGCAAAATCACTTCACCTCAAACGTACGTTGGGAGAGGCATTTCATCTCAAAACCGTTCCTAACCGTTCTGATATTCAGCCAACCGCTTTGTCCCGCTTTGCCCCACAACACCCTTGACCTGAGACTCCCATGACCCATCCCGAGCCACCACCGCTATCCGCTCCGCTTGCTTCCCCACACACGCAAGCGGCACACGGCGTATTTCAGGCCCAGAGGGGGGAGGGCGGGATGGAAGCTGTTTGAAGGAGGGTTTGGGGACGACGTGGGCCAATAGGAAGCTGAGATGAAGTGAGTGCGCGAATTGTACGTAGCGTGTGAAGGGGGTAATGCGCTTGGTGCGGTTTTGCTTGATCCTGACGGGGATCCAAGTGGTTTTCGCCTATAGTTATGATTCGTCAGCGAGGTTTTACGCGGTTTGCTTAGACGGCCAAATCCTTGCCGAATGGACAGGGTTTGGTGAGCTTCTGGTTTGAATTGCCGGTTTCGTCAATTCTCAACGGTTGGTTCAAGCAAGTCATGACGTAGACATTCGAGTTCCATTCAAAGTACAAGGAAAACCGATGTTTCACTTATGTTTCATAAGCATTTGGGTGTACCATGTGTTATAGAACCCATTACCGGATCGGTGTAGATGTGATCGACAATATCCAGGGCTTCGCCTCCAACCTCATCCTTCTGTTTCCCCCCCACGTCAAGCCACCCACCGAGACTTCAGTTCAATTCCTCTCAGCCAACCTCCTCCCACCCACCTGCCTCACAAGCTTCACTGCTTCACAGACCCTCCTTTGTATCCGTACCGCTCTATTTCTGATTTTTCTTCAGGCTTGTTTAGTAGGGAAACAAGAGGATTGACCGAGAATCAACTCGCCAGATCCTCTGTTAAGTGGCCATTGCTTACCCTCAGAGTCGTGTTATATTTTAGGGTTGACGTCACATTTTCCACATGGCCACAAATATGGCCGTCGTGGAGGAGCCATTGTACCCGATAGCCATTCTAATCGACGAGCTTAAAAATGACGACATTCAGCTGCGCTTAAACTCGATAAGGCGGCTGAGCACGATCGCGAGGGCTCTCGGCGAGGACAGGACGCGGAAGGAGCTCATTCCGTTTCTTAACGAGAACAACGACGATGACGACGAAGTGCTGCTGGCCATGGCGGAAGAGCTCGGCTCCTTCATTCCGTGCGTCGGTGGGATCGATTTCGCCTACGTCATTCTCCCGCCGCTGGAGACGCTCTGCACCGTCGAGGAGACGGTTGTACGCGATAAGGCGGTGGAATCGCTGTGCAAGATCGGACAGCAGATGAAGCCGAGAGACATTGTCGAGTACTTTGTCCCGCTTGTTCAGGTGCGCGTCCATTTAAGTTTAGCTCCACGCGTCCATTTTAGGTTTACCTCCATCTCAGGTTCGCGTCCATTTTAAGTTTACCTCCATTTCAGGTTCGCGTCCATTTTATGTTTACCTCCATTTCAGGTTCACGTCCATTTTAGGTTTACCTCCATCAGCTTCGCGTTCAGGTTCAGTTATGGCTTTGACCTCCCACTGTTGAGTACAATGTGGAACAATATTGTGTCTTGACCGGACGGTATCAAGCATTTTATTAGAGTCGATGCTAATAATGCCAGGGTCGCTTTGAGAACTCTCAAAAGAGACTGAACTGTGCCGCTCGACTGGACTGTATCGAGCATTATTTTGGAGTCGATGCTGATAATGTCAGGGGTTCAGGCTGCTTTCAGTATCGCAAATCGCGAGCTTTTACTCGTGTCGCGCTTCTGACTCTTGACTGACCTATTTTTCTCGCTGTTGATTGCGTTGCTTACGAATTTCCCACTGCTCCCACCGGTAGTGGTATTGTCTCTCTCGCACCCGCGATTGCCGCGTCGACGAATGCTGCGAAGCACGTAGAAAGAAAATTATATTTTTTATCGCAACCTGCAACAGACAGACTGGCTATCCTCGCGCGCTTCCTTTCGTGCCTTCCGTGCCTGATTCGACGGAGCAACAGGCAGCTGCGGTTGGCCGCAGGCTTGCGTTTTCATCTCCAGATCCCACTCCTTTCGTCGGACCCCTCCCTCTCATACTGCCATTTTTTTTCATCATCCCTTCCCCATCCCCTCCCTTCCCGCCTCCCCTTCCCCTTCCCGTCCTCCCGCTTCCTCTGCTCTTCCCGAACTCCCCCGCCCTCCCTCCGCCACCCTTCCCCACCTGCATCAGCGCCTGGCGGCGGGCGACTGGTTCACGGCGCGCGTGTCGGCGTGCGGGCTGTTCCACATCGCGTACCCCGCGGCAACGGAGCAGCAGCGCGCCGAGCTGCGCACGCTGTACGGGCAGCTGAGCCACGACGACATGCCCATGGTGCGCCGCTCCGCCGCGCTCAACATGGGCAAGTTCGCCGCCACCGTCGAGCCGCAGTTCCTCAAAACCGACATCCTCGCCTTCTTTAAAGACCTCACTAACGACGGTGCGTGCACGGAAGGGCGCGTGCAGGGGAGGGCGCGTGCAGGGAAGTGTGCGTGCAGGGGAGGCTGCGTGCAGGGAAAGGAGGGGGAGGGCTGTAGCGAAGGGGCAGAGGCGAAGGGATGGGAGGGAAGCAAAGGCTGTAGCGGAATGGGGGAATAGCTGTGGCTGTAGCGAATGTGTGGGGAAAGGGATGGCTGAAGCAAGGGGAACCGCGAAGGTGGAGGGGTGCGCGGTGGTGTTTGCAGCGCATAAAGATTCTGTTCCCTTTTCTGTCCTATGCTGCCCTGTGCACGCTGTTGTTGCATGCATCCCTTGCTGCGTGCAGACCAGGACTCAGTGCGGTTGCTGGCGGTGGAGGGGTGTGCGGCGGTGGGCAAGCTGCTGGAGAAGGAGGAGTGCATATCCACCATCCTCCCCATCATCCTCTCCTTCGCCCAGGTAAATACAATGCCCCACGCTCCTCACTCGCCGCTTCCTGCTCCCTGCTCCCCGCTCCCTGCTTCCTGCACTCTGCTCCCCGCTCCCCGTTTCCCCCGCTCCCCATTCCCCACTCCCTACTCCCTGCGCACCTTTTCGTCACTTGTGCATTGTTTTGAAAGGGTTGGTAAGTTAGAACCCCAGTTGTCTGATTACCCTGTCACTTGCTGGTTCTCCCCACTCGCACCTGCACTTGAATATCCCGCTTCTCAACTCTCACTTCCCTTACTGGCCTGCGCCCTTACTGACATTTCTCCATGCCCTGTTTTTTTTTTTTTTCAAAGTCGGATGCGCACGTTGAGATATTCCTCTGCTGACGTGGCCTGTGGCATGTGGTGTGTCACAACAGGACAAGTCGTGGCGTGTGCGCTACATGGTGGCCAATCAGCTGCACGAGCTCTGCGAGGCAGTGGGGCCTGACGTCGCACGGTACGTAGACGTCTCACGCATGTCTGATGTCGCACAATACGTCCCTATGCAAGCCCTCCCCGATCTTCCCCCTCTCTCAACGGACAATACTGTGTGGAGCTGCTGTGGTCTTCATTGCGCTACTGTGCGACAACGAGGCGAATCACACCTACCGCGAGGCAGTGGGGCCTGACGTCGCACGGTACGGTAGAATCTCACGAGCCGTATGCAACCGTGAAACCCTCCCCCGCCTTTCCCCCTTCTCTCGGTGCCTGCGTTCATTGCACTGCTGCGTGACATCGAGGTGGGTGGCATGGAGAGTCTCACGAGCCCTACATAAAGGCGTCATTCTTTCCGTCCCTCCAACCCCTTCCCTCCTCCCCCCTCCCCCAGTGCGGAGCTGGTGCCAGCATTCATCGCGCTGCTGCGGGACAATGAGGCGGAGGTGCGGATTGCAGCGGCGGGCAAGGTGACCAAGATCTGCGCCATTGTCAAACGCGAGGACGCCTTCAACGCCATCCTGCCCTGCGTCAAGGTGAGAACGAGGAGAGACTGGTGCTTCGTGCCTCACGACATGTCCTGGATGCGTATCAGCATACACGGTTTCCGTCCTCTTCCTTTCCTCCTTCCCGCCCACCCTCTCCCCTCTTCTTTTCTCCACCATCCTCAGGACCTGTCCACAGCAAGCGCTCCCGTCGGTGATCATGGCAATGGCGCCTCTCATTCCCTCCTTCATCTTCCCTACTCTCTTTTCTTTCCTCTCTTCCCCCTCTTTCCTCAGGACCTGTCCACAGACGCGTCGCAGCACGTGCGGTCGGCACTGGCGTCAGTGATAATGGGCATCATAGCGCTGCTGATGGCCAAGGAGATGACCATCGAGCACCTGCTGCCGCTCTTCGACAACCCCCCCTCTCACCTCCGGGCCTGTTCACTGATGCATCTTCCCCATCCCTGCTCCCTCCTCCCGCCTCTCCCTTTCCTCCTCCGCCTCTTTCCTTTTCCCTTTCCTCCTTTTTTTATTCCTCAGGACCTCTCAACAGACGCCTCGCAGCATGTGCGGCCGGCGCTGGCGTCGGTGATAATGGGCATGGCGCCGCTGATGGGCAAGGAGATGACCATCGACCACCTGCTGCCTGCCGCTCTTCCACACCCCCTCTTCTCACCTCCCTCTTGCCTCAGGGCCTGTCCACTGATGCATCTTCCCCATCCCTGCTCCCTCCTCCCTTCTTTTCCTATCCTTTCTCCACCTCTTTCTTCCCCCCCCTCCTCCCTCACTTCCTCCTTTTTTTCCTCAGGATCTGTCCACAGACGCATCGCAGCATGTGCGGTCGGCGCTGGCGTCGGTGATAATGGGAATGGCGCCGCTGATGGGCAAGGAGATGACCATCGAGCACCTGCTGCCGCTCTTCCTCGCCCTGCTCAAGGACGAGTTCCCTGACGTGCGCCTCAATATCATCTCCAAGCTCGACCAAGTCAACCAGGTGAGAGGTCACAGTTGACTTTGTTTGACTTGAGTTGACTTGAGCTGACTTGAAAGTTTCAAGGGCGTGTTTCTTGATGTGCGCCTCAACATCATCAGCAAGCTCGACCAAGTCAACCAGGTGAGGTGGACTGTTGTTGACCTTGTTTAAATTGAATTGAGTTGACCTTGGCTGACTTGAAAGGCCAAGGACGAGTTCCCTGACGTGCGGCTCAACATCATCAGCAAGCTCGACCAAGTCAACCAGGTGAGCTGTTGACGTTGTTTGACTCGAGTTGACTTGAATGGCTCAAGGACGAGTTCCCTGACGTTTGCCTCAGCATCACCAGCAAACTCGACCAAGTCAACCAGTCAGACCGTTTGACGCTACCTTGCTGGCTGCTGACTGTGTTTGACTTGCGTTGACTTGAAGGGCTCATTCACTTTCTGATCTCCTCCTCTCCATACAGGTGATGGGCATGGATCTGCTCTCGCAGTCGCTCTTCCCAGCGATAGTGGAGCTGTCAGAGGACCGGCACTGGCGGGTGCGGCTGGCGATCATTGAGTACATCCCGCTGCTGGCGGGGCAGCTGGGCATGGAGTTCTTCGATGAGAAGCTCAAGGACCTCTGCATGAAGTGGCTCGAAGACCAGGTGGGTGGGGATGGGTGGGGCTAGGTGTGGATGGGTGGGAGTGGGTGGGAAATGGTGGGAGTGTGCGGTGTGTGTGGACTCAAAACTCACTGCTGGTGGGGCAGCTGGGCATGGAGTTCTTTGACGAGAAGCTCAAGGACCTCTGCATGAAGTGGCTCGAAGACCAGGTGGGTGGGGATGGGTGGGGCTAGGTGTGGATGGGTGGGAGTGGGTGGGAAATGGTGGGAGTGTGCGGTGTGTGTGGACTCAAAACTCACTGCTGGTGGGGCAGCTGGGCATGGAGTTCTTTGACGAGAAGCTCAAGGACCTCTGCATGAAGTGGCTCGAAGACCAGGTGGGTGGGGATGGGTGGGGCTAGGTGTGGATGGGTGGGAGTGGGTGGGAAATGGTGGGAGTGTGCGGTGTGTGTGGACTCAAAACTCACTGCTGGTGGGGCAGCTGGGCATGGAGTTCTTTGACGAGAAGCTCAAGGACCTCTGCATGAAGTGGCTCGCAGACCAGGTGGGTGGGGATGCGTGGGGGTGCGTGGGGGTGCATGGGGATGGTTGGGAGTGGGTGGGATTGTATGTGCTGAGTCGACTCAAAAAGCATCTGCCGGCGGGGCAGCTGGGCATGGAGTTCAAGGACCTCTGCATAAAGTGGCTCGAGGACCAGGTGCGTGTTAGGTTTTTTTTGTGGATGAGAATGTGGGTGGGAGATAAGGCGACGTTGCTAAGCTGTGATGGCATGTTAGGGTGCTCTACCAGTCCTTTACACTCTCTGTCATCTTATCCAATCCCTTCTAATGCCATCCCATCCCATCCCAACCATCCCACACCACACTCCACCACACCACACCACACCCCACCGTGCCATCCACCAGGTGTACTCCATCCGTGAGGCAGCAGCCACAAACCTGAAGCGGTTGGCGGAGGAGTTTGGCCCAGAGTGGGCTCAAGCGCACATCGTGCCCATGGTATGGAACAAAGTTGGTTACAACTCTGTCTCCATGTGTTTGTTCTTTCTTTCTTTCTTCTTTTCTAAGTATTGACACAAGCACATCATCCAAACGGCATGGAAATAGTAGGTTACCCATTTGTAGCCATGTAATTACAGATCCCATGTAGCCATGTAGTTACAGCCCTTACACGCATGCGCTGGCCATGGAAAGAGTAGGTTACCCATTTGTAGCCATGTAGTTACAGAGCCCTTACACGCACGCGCTGGCCAATTCCATTTCCAAAGTTGTACGACAGCTTGAGTTGCACAGCAGCGTTGGAATCATCTGCTGCACATGTGTTGGCCAATCTCCTCTCGCTCTCCTTTTGGCCTTCTCTGGCCTGACCGCCCTTGTCTCCCACTACAAGTGATGAGCAAGGTGAACAACCCGCACTACCTGTACCGCATGGCTGTGCTGCTCTCCATCTCCATGTTCACAAACTCCTCCACCTTTCCGCCCCAACTCTCGCTTTCCCACACTCCCTGCCCCCGGTCATCCCCTGTCATGCAGGTGGTGAGCAAGGTGAACAACCCGCACTACCTGTACCGCATGACAGTGCTGCTCTCCATCTCCATGCTCGCGCCAGTGCTCGGCTCGGAAGCCACCTGCAGCACCATGCTGCCCATCGTGCTCAATGCGGCCAAGGACAGGTGATTGCATGCAGGGATGGGAGTGAGCTGAGGGTGAGAGCGAGCCGGGATAGCTGAGGGTGGGCTGGGGGGGTTGAGCTGGGGCGTGTGAGTCTTGAGTCGCCTTTGAAGCCACCTGCAGCACCATGCTGCCTATCGTGCTCAACGCCGCCAAGGACAGGTGAGAGCGAGATGGGCGCTGAGAGTGACCGGAGGACACCGTTTTTGTCCCATGCCTCCTCTCTAGCTCTCTCACTCACACTCGCTCCTTATGCCACTCGCTCCTTATGCCTTGCATAATCTCTCACTCACTCCTCTCGTACCTCTCTCACCCCTCATACCTCCTTCCATTTTCCTTCCACTCCTCCCTTTCTCCCCATCAGGGTGCCCAACATTCGGTTCAATGTGGCCAAGATGCTTCAATCCTTCATCACCATTGTCGAACCATCGGTAAGCACACCCATATTAATGATCCTCCCCTTCCTCCCCCACTTCCCCCCCTCCTCCCATCCCCACCTACCCACCACCATCATCCACCCCTCTTGCTCCTCTCACATCCCTATTTTTCCAATCCTCTCTCCTATATTTCTTCCTATCTCATCTAATTCCTCCCATTTCCTCTGCGGTGTATCTTCCTGTCACCTTGCTTTCTTCCCGTTTCCCACTCGACCAGATTGTGGAGCAGAGCATTCGGCCAGCCTTGTTTGAGCTGAACGAGGACCCAGACCCAGATGTGCGCTTCTTTGCCAACCAAGCACTGCAGGCATGCGATCAGCTCATGGTCGGCTGAACGACTGTTGATGCGGTTGAGTGGGGTGAGGAGGTTGAATGATGTGCTCTTCGTTGCCAGCCAAGCACTGCACACATGTGATCAGCTCATGGTGGGCTGAATGGACCGTTCAACGCTTCAGCTGGTGGCAGGCATTGATTGCATTGCTTAGGGAGGGATACTGTGATGGAATGGGAGATCATTTGCACGAAAAGTAAGCCCACATTCCATGGCCTGAGGCTGTGCCTCCAGATGTTCGTTAGAGGAGCTGCGTGTGGGTTGGGCTTGTTCAACATGCTTGATTGGAGCCAGTTCAGAACTGACTGCACAGTTTGGCCTAGGCTAGTCCCAAGTAGTGACACCTGGATGTACAATGATGCATGTGCTCTCTTTTACCGTATTACTGATTTTATTTCAAAACAGAACAGCAAACAGCAGCTATTCATTAGCACCTCAGCATATGGCACAATGCAGCACAACAGTAAGTAATCATGAACACTTGTTGCATGTTATTGCTATATTTGCATAAAATGGTATGCACCGGTATGTATTATGTCCTTGTGTATACATGAATAAATCTGTTTATCAGCTCTGCTGCGCCCTATGCTTCTCTGGTGCATGCTAGATTACCTAGTTTCAAATTAAATGTCCATGCTGCCAACCTAAGCAGATCCATAACCTTAGCATATCTATCAGTATTCAGGCAATTATCTAAATCTACAATCATTTATGCAATAATAGAGCGCGCCATGGTCTTCTCTTGGGTCTTCTGGGCCCCTCTTGGCCACTAGGGGGGTTAACCCCTAGTGTTACACCCACACACCACGTTGAGGTGGGGACCCTTCGTGTGGGACCTGCATGGGGACCACGGGGGGTTAGTGGCAAACAGCAAGCAAGCAAGCACAGCAACTAACAAGGAAACATAGAAGCAAAACAAGCAACAAACTAGGAAACAGCAAAGAACAAGCAACAAACTAGGAAATAGCGAAGAAAAAGCAACAAACTAGGAAATAGCGAAGAAGCAACAAACAAGCAACAAACAAGGAAAGCGCTGAAAGCAGCTACACTTACAACATGCACCACGACGACCGTTGCTGACGTGCCGTGCAGTCCACCTCCGCTCCGCAACCCCGCAGTGGCACGAGGAGGACAGGAGACGTCTCTCAAGCCTCGCTCAAACCAGGCAGAGCCCGGCCCAGGTGGAGGCGGGGTGAGGCTCATCCAATTTCAGGTAGCGTCCCGCCATCCATCATCAGAGCACCCACACACTGGGGCGCTTCAGGCGTTAGGAGGCCAGCCCTAACGCCGTTAGCACTCCCCTGCCGCACTCCACCTGATGCCACCGTTGGGGGTCTTCACTTCAGTGCTCCCCACGCATGTTGTGCATATCAACTTGACGGGAGGGGAGGGGAGGGGAGGGGAGGGGAGAGGAGAGGAGGGGAGGAGAGGGGAGGAGAGGGGAGGAGAGGAGAGGGGAGGGGAGGGGAGGAGAGGGGGGGATGAGGGGGTCTTCGGTCTTCAGTCTCCGGTCTCGAGTCTTCAGTCGTCCTGTAAAAAGATAGGTAAGACAACAGTTAGTTTCCTGAGCAGATAAAGCATGGGGCAGCTGGGGAGAAAGCATGGCGATAAAGCAAGGCGAGAAAATCAGCTTACCAGAGAAGAGCAGAAGCGACTGCCCCTCGCCGCCTCTGCTGCATCTCCTGTGTAATGGAAGAGGCAGAATCCAGGAAAAAGAGTCAAGACAGACAGATGAAGGAAAGTAGGGAAATTGAGCTCACGAAAACTGAAAATCGGCAACGCATACAGAGTCAATGCAAAATGAATTAAGGCGAGACGAGGAGGCTTACCAGAGAAGAGCAAAGGCGACTGCTCCTGTCCCCCCCCCCCCCCCCCCCCCCCGCTGCCCCTCGCCGCCTCTGCTGCATCTCCCTGGCTATACAAAATTGGAAACACAAGGGGACATTAGCACGTACAATTACACGTGAAGAAAAAGAAACGAATGCAAAAAACGAATGCGACTTACATGTCGGTGATGGTGTTGACCCTCCAAGCTGCTGCTCCCCCGCCGACCTGCCAAACCAGAGACTTACATGTCGGTGATGGTGTTGACCCTCCAAGCTGCTGCTCCCCCGCCGACCTGCCAAACCAGAGACTTACATGTCGGTGATGGTGTTGACCCTCCAAGCTGCTGCTCCCCCGCCGACCCGCCAAACCAGAGACTTACATGTCGGTGATGGTGTTGACCCTCCAAGCTGCTGCTCCCCCGCCGACCTGCCAAAGCAGAGACTTACATGTCGGTGACGGTGTTGACCCTCCAAGCTGCTGCTCCCCCGCCGACCTGCCAAAGCAGAGACTTACATGTCGGTGATGGTGTTGACCCTCCAAGCTGCTGCTCCCCCGCCGACCTGCCAAACCAGAGACTTACGTGTCGGTGACGGTGTTGACCCTCCAAGCTGCTGCTCCCCCGCCGACCTGCCAAACCAGAGACTTACGTGTCGGTGACGGTGTTGACTCCCGTCCACGCTGCCGCTCCCCCCTCCTTGCTGCCACACCACACCCCACCACACCACTCCACACCACTCCACACCAAAACCAGAGACTTACAGTGTCGATGGTAGGAAGGGGATGAGGACAGAGTGCAGGTCAGGTTGGGCGTCAGAGGCGGGAAGAGGAGGTGCGTGGAGGGCAGTGCTGAAGAATGAGGACGTGGAGCAGCGATGGGCGGGGCCGCCGTGAGGACTTACGAGAGGGGGCCCCACCCTCTCTGCCTCACATTCCCACCGCTACTCTCCGTTTCTCATTCCCACAGCATCCCAGTCATGCACCCCTCGTCCAACCCATCAACCACTCCCTCACGTTCCTCCGCCTCACCCCTTGCCGGACGTGCCGCCTCCTCGCCTCAAGTGCCGCATCCTCGACTGAAGTGCCGCCTCCTTGTTTCAAGTGCCTCACCCTCGCATCCTCACCTGAAGTGCCGCCTCCTCGTCTCAAGTGCCGCCTCCTTGCCACCTCGTCCCCTCACCTGAAGTGCTGCCTGGTTGCCTCCTCCTCCTTGCCCCAAGTGTCCTCCTTGCCTCGAGCCCCAAGAGTCGCATGCTTACCTCCTTGCCCCAAGTGTCCTCCTTGCCTTGAGCGGGTGGTCAGCAGGGCGAGTAGGAGGCAGCCACACGCCAGTGGCTGCCGGCCGTGCGTCATCCCGCCACGCTCGCCCGTCCTCCTCGCTCCACCACACCACACAAAACCACACCATACCAGACCACACAGCACTACACCTGCTCATCTGCAGGCGCCTCCGATCTTGAGTGAAGAAGCCATGCTGAGTGAAGAAGCCATGCTGAGTGATGAAGCCATCTTGAGTGAAGTGCCGCCTCTCCTTGCCTCCTCACCTCAAGTGTCACACCGCACTACACCTCTGCTGAAGCGCCGCCTCCTTGCCTCCGCGCTGGCTCGTTGCCCGAAGTGTTCGCCTCCTCCTTATGCCGCACCATACCATTCCACACCGCACTACACCTCTGCTGAAGTGCCGCCCCCTTGCCTCCGCGCCGGCTCGTTGCCCGAAGAGCCTGCCTCAGCAGAGCGGGTGGTCAGCAGGGCGGGTAGGAGGCAGCCGTGTCGCTGCCGGCCGTTGTCATCCCACCGCTTGCCACTCCCTCTCACTGCTGCTGTCCTCCCGAGTCGCTGCTGCTGTCCTCTGCAGGCTCCTCTGCTCCTCCCGAGTGAAGAACCCATGATTGCTGTAAAACAGCAGGAGGGAACACAAAGACAGATGCACGAAGTCAGTAAACAGAACTGCGAAATGGAAACGAAAGCAAAACAAACACAAGGAAACGAAATGCGGAATTGAAAGCGGAAACGAAGTGCGAAAATTGAGAGCGGAGAACAACACGAGGAAACGAGGTGGGTGGTGGGATGGATGCACGTCCATGATACGCCGGCTGCAGCTAGCAGAGGGAGGAGCTATGCTACCCAAAACCCAAACTCTATGCTACCCAACCCAAAATCTATGCTACCCAAAACCCGCGGAGGACATCTACTAGGCTGCAGCCGAACGTATCAGAGGGACGTGCATAAACGCGAAGTGCGGGACGATGGAGTGAAGTGAAGAACGAACGAGGTGCAAAGCACGGAATGACAAAACGAATGGAGGGTGACGAAAGTGGAAGGCGAGGGGAAAGGGACTTCCCAGTTGCTTTGCTGCCCACGAGATGCCAGTGATGCCTTGATGCTCCACGGCTCCCATGTTCCAATGCTCCTCGAGCAGGTGGTCAGCAGGGCGGGTAGAGGCAGCCACACGCCAGTGGCTGCCGGCCGTGCGTCATCCCAACGCGCCCGTCCACCTCAGCAGCGCCAGGATCAGCCAGCAGCACTCCAGCAGCGCCAGGATCAGCCAGCAGCACTCCAGCAGCCGCTCCAGTTCTCCTACAAATTCTGCTCAGACAAGGCACACAGGGCAAGGCAAATAGAGTGAGAAAAACTGATTCGCGAAAGAAGAGTAACGGGAAACAGGAACAACGGAAGCAGAACTAAGGCTAGACAGAGTAAACGAGGAATAAGGGTTCGAGGAAGGGACCGAATAACGGACCAATCAAGAGTGAGAACTTACCCAGTATACTAGTGACTCCGATTGACCCTGCTTCCTCAGCCATTCGCCCAACGCCGCGACAGGCGGTGATGACAGGATGGCATCCGTCTGTTCAACTTGCATCCGTCTGTCGACAGGAAGATTGCCGGAGACAGTTCAATCCGCATCATCCGTCCGTTCAATCCGCATCATGCGTACGTTCAATCCGCGCAGCTCAACCGTTCATCCGCGCAGGTCAACCGCATCATCCGCGCAGGTCAACCGCATCATCCGCGCAGGTCAACCGCATCATCCGCGCAGGTCAACCGCATCATCCGCGCAGGCCAACCGCATCATCCGCGCAACTCAATCCGCATGGCTTGCGCAGCTTCAGCATAATCAGCTTCAGCTAACATAATTTCCCTGCTTGAATCGGGAAAAAAGACGAAATGAGAGACAAAATTAGTGCCTCAATAGACTGGAAAAGAAATTCATACAGAAAGAGTGTTATGAACAAGAGCGTAGAGTGTTATGAAAAAGCGCGTATGAAGGGAAAATGGCAAGATCAAGAGGGTCGTCGGCGTTTACCACTGTCATTGACGCGGTAGTGTCGTCGCGAGCGAGCTCCTTTGTAGTAATGTGTTGTTGCGAGCGCAGACGGCTTCGCGAACCCTGCTTACGGCTTCGCGAACTCTGCTGACGACTTCGCGAACTCTGCTGACGGCTTCGCGAACTTATAATCTCTTGCAGACTTCGTACTTCGCGAGTGCAGACGGCTTCGCGAACTCATCCATTATCAGATCCGCCGTCGCCGAGATCACCATCTTAACTTTGCCGTCTTAACTTGGTCAATCGTCGTCACTTTGAGTCGTTAACGACGTCATAAATTCGCCTCAAGCGTCGTCTGCTTAACTCAAACTTCACCGTTGACTGCTTTGTAGAACTTCGTCCGTTTACGGCTTCGTCTACTGGAGCGTCTCATGCGTCGGTAGCAAACTGCTTTGCGACGGTCGCATCCGTTGTAACGTCGCAGACTGCGGGAGCGATTCATCCGTCGGAACTTGAAGACTTCGTACTTCGTAACTTGTTGGATTTCGTAGGTCGAAGCTTGCTCGATCTGAGCGAACGATGTAGGAAGAAAAATCACGTCGTGAGCAGAAACTAAAACAGCATTGCGAAGTATCTTGAGTAGAAACCGATAAAACGGATCCAATGTTAGAACTCTGATTAGAAAAAACGACCGACCGCCGTAAGGTGAATCATAAGGCTGATGGACATCGAGTTGAAGAGTTAGAGCGATATGAATCCGGAACTTTGGACAGGCTGTAGTCCTACTAGTTTTAAATTTCTGAATACCAACAACGGTAGTCACAACGGAGGAAGCCATGGACTCCGAGTTACCCAGACTAACTCGTTTCACAGCAGAGAATTACGCTGCCTTGGGAATTTCGAGATTCGTGAAAAGACAGTCGTTCAGGAATGGGAAGAGAGGCTAACAGACTAAAGCGAAGAGTGAGGGAAGTGGATGGCAGGGAAGGGAGGTTAGGAGGGTTGAGAGTGGTTGAAAGGGTTTGGTAGGAGACGAGATGGGTGCTATGGTTCAACCTGAGAGAATCAGTGAAAGGTTAGTGAAGAGGGCCGCGAGAGGGGTTGGCTCGCCATGCTAGGCACTGCAAGCTGAGGGGAGGAGGAGTTGGCTCCCGTTCTGGTCCCTGCAAGCACGAGGGGGAAGCCGCTGCAAAGTGAGAGGACGGGTTCCGCTGACAGACGGAAGGCGGGAGAAATTCGGCCAATGAAAGGGAAGGAAGTTGAGAACAGTGTTGCGCTGGCGCGCGCGTCGTCGGAAACAGTGGTGCACTGCCGCGCGCTCTGTCCGACTATTCGCGGTTAGCCATGTGCAGAAACATTTAGATTAAAAAGCGAAAAGTGTTGGGTTTTCAGCTTAGCAGGGAGGGGTATCCCGACCCCTCCGCTTTCAGGTTGTAGCGCTTTCTGCCCACAGTTTCCGCTAAAGTCTGGGCTAGGGGGGGAGAGTTATTGTTCAGATTAGGGACTCGAGCTCTCAATGAGCCACGTTTCCCAATTCTCACAGAGAGCTCACTGTAGGTGTTCAATCACAGATTCTCCACGTGGCTCATTGAGAGCTCGACTCCCTAACCTGAACAATAACCCTCCCCCCCTAGCCCAGACTTTTGCGGAAACTGTGCGCAGTTTGCGCTGTCCGTACCCTGAAAGCGGAAGGGTCCAGATACCTGTCCCCGCTAAGCTGAAAACCCAAAAGTGTTCCCAGCATCATGAAAAGTGTTTCGAGCGAATGTTCTGGGTAGAGAACAGTGATGTGGGGCTTTTTGGTACCAATCACGTCACGAACAACGTTTCTGGTGGCTAGTGTCAGACACTGGTTTTAAATATGTCGTGTGCTGGTCGACCATTCTGGCGGGAATGCATACTGTACATCCCCGTTTTGATTGTTCGTCGAGATTGTCTGTACATCAACTTGCGCTCATTAGGGTGCAAACACTGTTTTGTAGAGTTTGAAGCACAGAACAGTATGCTGCAATATATATTTTTGTTTCACATATATATACATTTTCTCTATGTCTGTTGACATCAGAGGAATATAATGAGGACCCAATAACTGCTCTGAAGAAGTTTCATATTGTAGTTTCACTGGGGGAGCAAGGCAATAGTTCCTCGAGCTCATAAGCGTTCTACAACATGTGACGCGACTGAACTAACAAGGATATACTACAATGTAGATCAGTGCCAGCAAGCACTGTAGCCACTGCCAGAATGGGCTTTACTGGCGTTTATGAACAGATTATTGCAGATGCAAATGCAGTGAGGCCCACACATGTGGAGGGAAAGTCTACCATTTTTACTAAAAAAGGCTTCTACGAAACGACCGTGCCGTTGTCTGGTAAGTCTTGATTAGAAGACCCACGCCTATACCCACTCCTATGCACATGCCAAGTCCAAGACCCACACCAACCCTCACTCCAGCATTGAACCAGGAAAGCTCGCCATTTCCCTCCTCATTTTCAACATAGCCTGCAGGGAGATCGTAGAATCCTGGAAACTGGCTCGGCTGCTTCTCAGAACCATTGTAATTTTCCTGTACGAACAAATCAGGGGCAGTGGAGGAAGAAATTGACAATTGAGAGATGGAAGATTGACTAAAGGCAGACGGAGCAACAATTCATACTCTCCATAACACGGATAACGTACAACAAACTGAAAACCACCGCGGACAAGAAATACAGAACATAACGAGACGGAAAAAGAAGCACTAGGTGGAGGGTACAAGGCAAGAGGGGGCGAGACGGGTGCGGGAGGGGGGTTGGGGTGGGAGGGGGAATGGGGAAAGGGGGAAGAAAGCCGGGTCACAGATATAAAACAGAACCAGAACATAATCATGCCTCGCACCTGAAAAACGACGACTTTCCGCAGATCCTCGTCGAGAGCCGCCGTCCTGGCATGCATCCGGTCGGGTTCCTCAACCTCGGGGATTGCGTCCAGACCTGCCTTCCAGTGGTTCTTCCGCCTGGCGGTCAGTTGCACCGTCTCCGTCAGCATGACCGGCAAACCGTCACACCTGCCGACTATGCAGATCTCCAGTGACGGCTGAACTGCGTGATCCGACAGCTCTTGAACCGACTTGACGGCGAACCCGCTCCAGGAACTGCTAGTGGTGCAGGAGCATTCAAGCGTCCACTGACCTTCCAACGGTAACCCTCGTTCAGGTAATACGGGTAAGCCTGAAACCGTCTCCTCCAATGCCTGTCTGGGTCGTAGATTGAGCGAGCAGGCGACCAGTTGTTCCCCTTCATGAAAGATATCAAAAGAGAGAGTTCTTCGGATTCTTAATCTGTCCGTGCTGACGAATGTCGCTTCAGAACTTTCAGAGTCAGCTCGGTCTTTTCTTAACGATAACGAGACGTCTTCCAACGGGCTTCTTCTCGCGCCGTTAACTTCCAATTCTGAGGAAATTTCGCGAGGAGGACAAGAAAAAACGAGGTAGTCGGAGCTGCTGTTAATGATGTTTTGAGCAGATATTCTGGCGTAGATGACCTTCACGTCGAGCCATCCTGCTGCTTGACCTGCAACCTGAGAAGACATAACGGCCTCAATTCCCACGAAATCCACGTCCAGCTGCCTCTTGAAGTCAAGAAGAATAATATTTTGGTACGGCTGCAGGGAAAACTACAAACCCTACTTAATGTAAACGCGAGCTTCTTGATGCAAGAGGAAACTCCCTTTTCCGTAAAACGGCAGCATCGACAGACTTCCAAGGAGATCACAGCAGATGACTGCCGCACTAGAAGCTGATTGGAAACTTGATGGAGTAAGTTGTTTAGTGACTGGAGTGAATCATCTACAGGCGATTCAGTTTCCTAGCATACAGGTCAGGGAGAGGGGAAATTGATGTTGAGTTTAGCAGCAGCAGACCGTGCGGTAAGCTCCGCCTAAGCGCAGTACGCGTCTCCCCAATCCCAGTGGACTGCCTCAATCGCGAATGATTTTTCCCGAACCCCCGTCATCCATTGACAGGTTTGGCTTCGCCCCTCCGCTCCAGCAGAGCACAAACACGTGTGGGGGAAAGGCATCCTTTTCCGCCGAAGTTCCGCGGACGTTCTGTGATGGTGAAGGTACGTGAAGCAAGAAAAGAACACGAGCAATTCGTGAAGATAAAGAGAGCAGCTTTAGCGATGGATGTCCTCTGGTTACTTACGACCTCGCCCAGTAAGAGTATGGCTTGTTCTTCGCGAAAGCCGCTTTTGCGAGAACTACAGCCGAGATCGTTGCGCTTTTGCGAAAGCCCTGAGGGTTGGGCTACGCAATTTGTGGGAGGGAAGGGGGATTCGCGAAACGTTGCCTCATAACGCCCGGAAAACGCCAAGAACAAGAAGTTCCCGTCGCTGCATGGTGTTTGCCGAAGTTGCTTGCCTGCGCCGCGCGTGCATCCAATCGACGTGAGTCAGCTGTGCATGCTGCGTGCGGATCCCCTGATTGTTGACAGCGATTGGCCTCTGGACCACGAGCGAGGTACATTCCGCCTCTCCGGGAAACGATGACCCGGTGGCGGGCCCAGCTCCGCTGATTGAGCCAGGAAGCTTGGCGCACATTGGGGTGTGGGCCCAAGTGCAACTCAATAAGCTTCATCCATGTTGGGTACAGTGGAATATTAGTTACACCACTACAAGAATATCACAATCAACTTCCTATCTCTATGCAGCCTCATTTCTTTATGTAATTTCATGCACACCCTTCACAGGGGCAGACTCCAATCCCCATTCCCAAGGCAGGGCCTTAGACCACTGCAACCTATCTGACACTTCTGAAGAAAGACAACGTAGTTTGCCTGCTGTTTCTCAACCTTGACATTGTCCTGTCCCCAAACGCGCTTCCGAGAATGCCACTTGCGAAGTCAGCGTCAAGCCCTCCCACAGGCTGAGGCGAATCTACTTGGGCCGTGTTCGTCGTCCCCCGCTGCTGTCCACTCGCACGTGTTGCTGCTCGGCTCCCCATCAACCTCCTCCTGGTAGTTGCTGATGCTTGCCTATCCACTTGAAGGCGGCGACGGGTACGTCGAGGGGTCCTGGATCGGAGGGGGAGAAAAACAGATTCAGTCAATCGCATTCACTTGTCTCGAGCCTCAACCCAGCATGTAAGAAACGAATACACCCAGAACGTTTAATCTGTAGGCACTGTAATCCCTTTAATTTGGGGACTACGTGCACAGCCCTCACCTCCTCTCAGTGCAAGCAGGGCAGAAGCAAGGCTCCTGCCTCGAGGGCACAGCAGGGAAGGTTTTGAGACGTCTTGAAACACACCTCCTTTATCACGTAACTTACCTCCTCTCAGTGCAAGCGGGGCAGAACCAGGGCTCCTGGCTCGAGGGCACGGCAGGGAGCGGTGGTTCGAGGCAGAAGGTGTGGTGCGCCCCCAGGTGGTTGCATCCATCACACAGAAGTAGCAGATCCTCCATGGCGCCTGACTGGCACACACAGCACACCATCGTCTGGGGGGCAGGGGGAGGATCGGGGAGAGAGCAGGGGTAACAGGGGAAGAGTGGAAATGTTGGCAGGGAGTGGCGAGGGGAGGCAGGTGGTTGCAACCGTCACAGAGCAGCAGCAGATCCTCCATGGCGCCTGACTGGCACACACAGCACACCATCGTCTGATGGGAGGGGGAAGGGGATGGGGGTGGAGGTGGGGGGGAATGTGGGAGAATTCATTAACAAGCATGGAGGTCTTGAGAAGAATGGAGGTTCTTCGCAGAAGCACAAGCATGATGAACAAGCGAGAGGGACACTAAAAAATACAAAATAAAACAAAGAGAAGAGAGACGTAACGAAGAAAAGGAAAAGAAACGAAGGACCAGTCATGAAGGCAGGCTTACATCGAGTGGCGACTCATCAGTGGGGGCCCTTCTCTTGCGGGTTGGCACCATCACAATGCGCTCGTCCTCCCCATCCCCCTCATTATCACCATCTTCACCCACAGGACCAGCAGCAGCAGCAGCAGCAGCAGCATCAGCAGCAGCAGCATCAGCGGACGGGGCAGTAGGGAGACTGGTGCGCTTGGCAGCTGCAGCTGCTTCCCTGCTGGCCCTCTTGTTGCGCACTGTAATGAACTCAAAGGGCTCCTTACAAAGGGGACAGCACGGAATGGCTGTGGCCTGTGAGGGGGGCGAAACCAGGAACATGGTGGAAAACTGGGCGAGATAAGTTTCGATATAGACCGAAACGAAAAAAGAGCAGGTCTGAGGACAAGGAAGAGTGGCCGACAAGAGGAGGAAGAGGGGGTGAGGACAGGAACAGCGCTACTCACCGCACTCTCAGCCCACTTGTGAATGCATTTGTAGCAGAAGGCGTGCATGCAGGGCAGCACACCGATCCTCGAGGCAGGAGTGTCCTCCTGGCAGATAGCGCACGCACACCCTCCACTGGGACTCGCAAACGCTGCCCTGGGCGGCGTGCGGGCAACCAACACTGCCTTCTGATTCACATCAAACACCGCCTTGGTGGGGGTGCGAAATGCTGCTTTTGGGTTCCCGTCTAAGTATTCTCTGGGGGGTGTGCGTGCAGGTGCTTTCTGGTTCGCATTAGGTGCTGCCCTAGGGGGTGTGTGAGCTGCACCTGGCAGGCAAGTACCCCTGGGTGGACAGCTTGCGTTTGGGGGTGTGTGGGCAGCAGGCATGCGGGGGGGAGTGTGGTGGTGGGGAGAGAGCGGGTGGGAGGGAGCAGGGGCGTGGGTGGTATGGGTGGGGACAAGGGCGGCAGCAGTGGCTGTAGCAGCGGGGACAGAGGAAGGAGCAGCAGGTATGGTGGCAGGAGGATGCGCAGAGAGAGAAGCAGGCGGATCAGCAGAAGGACGAGCAGACGGTGGGATGGGATGTGATGCGGTGGCAAGCCGAAAGGGATCGGAAGAGCAGGAGGCACTGCCAGGTGCTCTCCCAGGGAAAACGCGGATTCCTGGTTGACTGGCCTGGTGGCTGCGAGGGCAAATGCTCTGTTGGGTGGGTCGAAGTAGCTGCTGCTGGTTCTGCTTGCCTTGAGGAGCAGCTTTAGGAGAGCGGCTGCTCCGTTGCTGCCCCCTCACGGGGGAGAGCCGGCTGGCTTGCCTCGAACTGGCTGCCGGCACGGAGGGACGGGTAGATGAGGGAGGAAAGTACCTGTGGATGGTGGCCCTGCTTCCAGATGCTGCTGCTCCCCCCCCAGCTGCACCTACCCCTGCTACCCCTGCTCCCCCTGCGACTGCATCTGCTTGTGCTGATGACCACAATGGCACCTCCCTCATCTGCATCTGCTGCTGCTGACGGTGCTCCTGCTGCTGTTGGTGCTGCTGTTGGCTCCCACCATCTGTTGCACTCGTTATAGTCCCCTCCCGCAAGAGAGGCAGCTCCGGTATCCTACCCTCTGCTGCTTCTCTCACCTCTCCCACTCCCACCTCTGGTTTTCTCAAGGACCCCCTAGGCTCCACCTTCCTTCCCAGAAACGCCTCCAGCGTCCAAACGGACTTGCCACGTGTCAGCCTGCCAGTGGTCCCTTCGCCGCGTGTCGGACTGCCAGGTGGCGCCACGTCATCGGCCAACATGCCAGCTGTCGCTGCATGACCATGTGAGCTGGGCTCTTGAGGCAAGTCACGTGAATGAGCCCCTCCTACACCACAGCTTTCTGCATCCCTTTCCTCATCCTCTGATTCAGCACCGCCGCCAACCGCATTCCATCTACCATGACCACTATCACATTCTCTACCAGATTTTCTGCCAATACCACCATCCCCACCACCATCAGAAGCAGCAGCAGCTGCTCTGCTCTGCAACATATCCCTCCTCCACGTTGCCTTGCGCAGCCTCTTCAATCTCTGCTCCCCTCCCCCCTCACCCTCTCCCTCCTGCCCCATCCGCCCCTCACACTCCCTTACCCAATCTCGCCCTCCATTATCCGCCTGCTCAAAGCTCGGCCGAGCGTGCCATGTGCTTCGCCCCACACCTCCCTCACGAGCTCTCACGAGTCCCCTCTGGCTTCCACACATGTGACTGTCTCTCACCCCACCAGCTCCTCGGGTGAAACCTCTCCCTGGCTCGCTAGCTGCCATGCCATCCCTCCTTACGGGGTTCTCAGGCACACGCTGTGTGAACTCAATCTCATCCTCCTCCTCTTCCTCTTCCTCTTCCTCTTCCTCTTCCTCTTCCTCTTCCTCCTCTTCCTCCTCTTCCTCCTCCTCCTCCTCCTCCTCCTCCTTCTCTTCTTCCTCCTCTTCCTCTTTCTCCTCAGCCACAACCTCCTGTTCTTCACTTTCTTCTTCAACCTCCCTCGCCCCCACCCTTCTCGAACCTGCCCCACCACTCCCCTTATCTCCCCTCTTCCTTCTTTTTCCCACCTGCCAACCACCACTTCTCCTGTCACTCTCACTGTCACTATCCGAGAGCACAATCACATCACCACAGCCTGATCGCTCTTGCCTCAACCCACCAACAATGCCTTTCCTTCCTGCCTCTCCCCTTACGCTCTCTTCTGCTACCTCCTCCTGCCTCACATGCCCCTCTCTTGTGTCACTTGGTGTCACATCTTCACTCTCCTGTCGCACACCCTTTTCCCTCACACCCTCTTCAACCGCACCAGTTTCTCTCACACCCTCTTGCACCACATCCTCTTCTTCCTGTTTCGCATCCCATTGTCTCACGTATTCTCTCTGCCTACCCACCAGCAGCTCTCCATCCGCTCCCTTCCTTCTCCATGCCTTTTCAGACGACTCAAAAGTCACCTCCTGCTGCTCTCTCTGCCTATCCACCAGCAACTCCCCATCTGCTCCCTCCCTTCTCCATGCCTTTTCAGCCAACACAAAAGTCACCTCCTGCTGCTCCCTCCGCCTATCCACCAGCATCCCCCCATCTCCCCCCTCTTCTCTCGGACTCCAAAGAGACGCCAGCAGCTTGCGCGCTTGCTCAAACGAGCTGTCAGGCCCCTCATCCTCGTTACAAGCTTCCTCTTCAAGATTCTCAGCAGCAGCAGCGACCGATAGCAGGGCCCTTGGGTTTCCTCCTGCATCCTCAGATGCCAGCTGGCCGTGCGTGCAGTCAAGTGGTGGTCTATAGTGGGAACTCCCCCCAATGTCAGGAGACAGCAAGATTCTATAATTGAGATCCTCTTCTTCTTCCTCCTCCATACGTCTAGCATCCGTTTCCATCCTCTCCCCCACCCCTCGTTTCCTCCCTCCAGAATCCGTTCCTTTCTTCTCCTCCCCCTCCGGACCCCTCCCTTGCGCGTCCATCCCTTCTCTCATCTCCTCCTCGCTCCCTATTCTCTCCTCTGCTGTTTTCACCTGAGCACTATCAGGAGCAACCTGGGAGCAAACAGGAGCAACCTGAGAACAATCAGGAACAACATGAAAGACATCAGGAGCAGGCTGCGACGGCAGCAGTGAGAGGGGAACAGGAGACCCCAGATGAATCGACGGCCACATGCCGTCTTCCCCCACCCCTTCATACAGGCATTTAGACGGGGAGGAGGTTTGAGAGGGCGACGGGGAGGCCTTGGGGGAGGGCGGGGGTGGGGATGGGGCAGCTTGGTGTGGGGACGAGGGAGCAGGTGGGGGCGTGGAGGGGTGGAGAATTTCCACCTCGCGCACCTCTGCTGGCCTTTCAACTGTCGTCACTCCTGCTAAAGCTGATACTGGTGCTGCTGCTGGTACTGGTGGTGGTGCTGCTGTTGCTACTGGTGCTGCCGCTGGTACTGGTGGTGGTGGTGGTGGTGCTGCTGCTGCTGCTGCTGCTGCTGCTGCTGCTGCTGCTGCTGCTGCTGCTGCTGCTGCTACTGGCGCTGCTGCCTCTGCTGGTGCTGCTGCTGGTGCTGCTGCCGCCGCTGCTGCCCCTGCTGCTGCTGAAATTGGTGTTGCTGCGCCTGATGCAGGTCCTGCACCCAGCACCACTGCTGCTCTAACCTGTGCTGCGCCCTGTCTTGTCGTTGCTGTTGCAGTAGCAACGCCATGCCCTCTGACCCCATCGGCTAAAGCTGCTACTTCAACCCATGTCACCACACCACCCTTGCTCACTCCATGCCCCTCTGCACACCCCTCTGGGACATTCTCCTTACCCTGCAGCCTTCTCCTCTTGAAGGGGCTGCTCTTAGCGAAGCGCCTCGCCATTCCAGCTCCCTCACCTCGCCCAACCAAATCCTTGCCTCTGTTGTCTGTCGAGCCTGCCACCGAACCGCTGTTTTCCCTCAGCCCGCTGCTTCCCGCACCACCACCCCACCCTCTCCCAACATCTTCCATAACATTTTCTCTTGACACGAGAACCCTGGCTTCTGCCTGTGGCATAACAAGCGGTTTCTCTTCTTCCTGCCTAATCGCTGCTTCAGTCCGCACCCCTTCCTCTGCTGTGCCTGCCTTGCAGTCGCCCACTGAGAAAAGAGCCGGCGGTGCCACCAGGGGAAAAACAGCCGGTTCGTCTGGGGGAAGAGGAGGCGGGGGTGGGGGCCCTGGGAGGGTTGATGGGTGGTGTAGTGATGGTGGAGCGATGGTGTTTGGTTGGGTGACATGGGGAGGTGTATGGGCAGGCTGGGAAGGGACAGGTGGCAGTGGTGGCGCAACGGACGGGAGGGCACGCAGCAGCGTGTCATGTGATGGTGCAGGTGGTAAGGTGTCATGTGATGGTGCAGGTGGTAAGGTGTCATGTGATGGTGCAGGTGGTAAGGTGTCATGTGATGGTGCAGGTGGTAAGGTGGGTGTGGTGATCAGAGGAGCACATGGTGGTGGCGGGAAGAGACACGGAGGGCCCACTGCATCGCCCCTGGGGGAAGGAGGGAGGGAGCCAGCCGGGGAAGGGTAGGGAAGGGAAGAAAACGGAAGGGAAAAGAAGAAAACGGAAGGGAAAAGAAGAAAACGGAAGGGAAAAGAAGAAAACGGAAGGGAAAAGAAGAAAACGGAAGGGAAAAGAAGAAAACGGAAGGGAAAAGAAGAAAACGGAAGGGAAAAGAAGAAAACGGAAGGGAAAAGAAGAAAACGGAAGGGAAAAGAAGAAAACGGAAGGGAAAAGAAGAAAACGGAAGGGAAAAGAAGAGAACGGAAGGGAAAAGAAGGGAAGGGAAGGGAATTGAAGGGAAGGGAAGGGAAGGGAAGGGGAGGGGAGGGGAAGGGAGGGAAGGAGAGGGAGGAGAGGGGAGGGGAGGGGAGGGGAGGGGAGGGAAATGAAGGTAAGGAAAGGGAGGGGAAGGGAAGGGAAAGGAAGGGAAGGTAAGGTGATACTGCGATAACATTCACAGAATGAGACGTACAACAAATGCAGGTGAATAAAAGCGACTCAGCTGCAAATGGTGAAGTGAAAGCGCCCTACCAATGTCCTCCAGGCGCAAATACAAACAAAATCAGGCATAACAAACCTCAGGGGTGCACCAAACATGCACCACGTACGGGAGGAGGGTGTAAGGAGCTTCAAGGACGCGCTGGGAGTAGAGCAAGCAGTCCTCGAGCCACCGGTGGTTAACCACCCACACTGCGCCCTCGCTGTCCCCCCTGTGCCCCCTCGAGGTATAAACAGAATATTGAAAGACAACACACGTACGGGTGGAGGCTGTAAGGAGCTTCAGGAACACGTCGTGCGTACAGCAGACAGTCCTCGAGCCACCGGTGGTTAACCACCCACACTGCGCCCTCGCTGTCCCCCCTGTGCCTCCATGCCACGCCCTCGTTACAGTCACAGACGCACTGGTTGCCGTCAGCATGGCAGCGCATGGCATGGAGAGCTGCGTTGCTGCGGACTGCCAGGTCGTACTTGGGCCCTTCAAACCGATTGCACACCTGCAGGCACGCATGCATGCACGCACGCAGGCAGGCACGCAGGCAGGCACGCAGGCAGGCACGCAGGCAGGCACGCAGGCAGGCACGCAGGCAGGCATGCAGGCAGGCCCACAGGCAGGCATGCAGGCATGCAGAGTGGTGGGGCGGGATGAGAAATGGAACTCTGCAAATACCTGCAACACTATGCACCAGGGAGCACATGCTGGCAGGGACATTAAATTACCAGGTGAGACGTCTCCGTTTGACTTGAAGGTTGCAGCACAACGCACCAGGTGTGTGTTGTTATGTGGGGTGAAGTCGCGTGTGAGCCGTGCCCCTGAGGCTTGAATCATGAGCTTCACAGACGACCGCGCGAGTCTTTCGTACCCCGTCAGACTCACCACCACCTCCTCCATACCCGCCTCCCGCTCCTCCTCCTCCTCCTCCTCCTCCTCCTCCTTCTCCTCTTCATCCCTTTCCTCTTCCTCTTCTTCCTCCTCCTCCTGCCACTCGTCTTCCGGCTCTTCCGAATCCAACACAAACCTCCTCGCCCTCCTCTTAACTCTCATTCCGCGTTTCCCTCTCACCCCTACTGCTCCCAGAAGCAACGCATCCCTCGTTGCTACCTCCCTCGGTCTCTTCACCCCAACGCCCTCCACTCCCATCGCCTGTCCCCTCATCCCAATCTCCTCACTCCCTCCCGCCCCACCATGCCTCTCCTCTCTCAGGTCGCCCTCACGCACATCAATTTCCACCCTCCCTCCCTCCCTCACGGAATCCACCGTATCAACGACTCTTCGATCTGCTTGCCTTCCCGCCTCATCGCTCCCCTCCCCGTGCCCCTGCTCCTCTGCCAACCTCCCACCCTCCCTCATCTTCTCCTCACAAGCGTCGCTGCTTCTACCTTCTCCCCTTGTGACCTGAGATCCCCCTTCTGCTGCTCCTCCCGCTACCTCTTCTCCCTCTGCCTCTCCTCTCCTCGCATCACGAACCGTCTGCTTGGCCTCGCTACTGCCACAGCCAGGTATAATCACGCTGACAAGGCACTTAGGGCTTGCAGCCAGGAAAAACTGGTCACCATGAGACAGGCAGACGGAGTCGCCCTTAGCCAGCACCAACACTGACGAGGAATTTCTCCTGACGCGGCCAGTACGTGGTAGTGAGCTCTCCCCTGCTGCTCCAGTTCCCGGTCCTGATACCACTCCTACTGCTTCTACTGATCCTAGCTTCCCTGCTGTTGCTGATGCACCTGCTGCTGTTTCCGTAGCTCTAGGCAGAAGAGAGTCCGGCCTGCGGCATTTCTTGAAACAAATGCGGTTGACTCCGAGACACGTCATCCTCGCTGTCACAGCTGGAAATTGCTGCTTATCTTGATCGCCAGGGAAAGCTACCGCAGCAGCAGCAGCAGCAGCAGCAGCAGCAGCAGCAGCAACAGCAGTGCAGTGATCGCCACGGGTGGGAAGGTGGTCTGAACCTGGACTGGCGATGCGAATCTCCGCTTGCCTCCGACTGCAGCAGACAATAGATTTCGGATCAATGGGAAACGTCGCTCGACCTAGCATCGTAACAGCGTCGCGTATTTCCTGCCAGAAAAACCGGATGAAAATCGGCGGAGGTGAGATGAGCAAATCATATTATTGCCTCGTTGGATGATAGCGACCCGAAGTGAATAAGGGCCAGGTAGTCTTGAAACCTTACAACGGAAAACAACAATCCGTTATTCCTGAAAGAGAAACTCAAACTAACCTTGCGCTCGCCATTGGGAAACTGTAAAATGAGGTACGGAGGACGCTGTGCCATAAGAGCCGCCAAAAGATTAATCAATCTGACACGCTGAAGTCACTGCTGAGAAATAATAAATAATGAAAGAATGGCTACTAAACTTTGAATAGAAACGCAAACAGAAAAGTAGTCGCGATGTGCGCGGGACCATCTGGCCTACAGATGCTAGGTCTAGATCATCGCGTCAGATGTACGACTGTGACAAAACCAATAATGGGCCATGGCGTCAGTGTCACGCTCCAGGTGATGGTACGAACTTGGAGGACAAAGTTCGCTTTTAATCAGGTGCCTCGCGTTTTTGCTCGGTCCGAATTGTTCGAAAGCAATAACTCGGTAATATCGTGGTTTCCGTCAGCAACTGAACTGCGTGGAACGAACAATATCAGATGCAGAGCAGAACTCCTAGCGGTGAAATTGCCGCGTTGCGTGAATGGGATGGGGTCGTATGATCTTATGATCGTACGGCATGGATGGCGTGATGGCATCAAGTTCAGACGTGGTTCACAACAAACAACCCGACGCGAGAACCTCTACTTCCGCGCGCCAGATTCTGCCCGCGCAGAACTGAGTTGAAGTGGAGCAGCCAATCGGCAGCTCGAAGTTCCATCCCCAACAGCCCAAGACCTGAATTACAAGAAAGAGAAGGCAAACTGTGCACAGTTTGCCTATCGAACCCACAGTTGACCTCCCGAGCCAGGCTGGTTACCAGAAAAGATCGCATACAAAAAACAGAGAGTCGTGGAGTCCTGGGCTTGGGCTTTAACAGTCCTGTGAGCATCGTCACCGTTGAATCTATCCGTCACAGCCTCCGAAACGTCCGATACGGAGGTGATCTGGAATCTGCTGATTGACTTCGAACTACGTTGTGCAACTCTGTGAAACTCCTATAATGATTCAGCAAATTACACGTATGTGCATAATTCCAACTCTTTCAAAAAATCCCGACTTACAAATGAAGCGACAGGTCAAGCTGATCTTGAGCTTTGAGCTCCTCCCTAACTTCAACAGAGGTGGGAACCAAATGAGCAGGCACGGAAGCACCTTCCTTAGCCTCACCCATCCTAGACTTCCTTGCCTGGATCTCAGCATCCACATAAGCAAGCACAGCTTCAATGTTGCTCCTGGACCGAGTCAGGCCCGTCAAACCAGCAACAGGGCCCACGCCTTGTGCAGCACCAGCACCAGGCAACACTTGCCTAGATCCCACTCTTGGCATAGCCTGGGCTAGGAGCTGCATTGCAGCTGCCACCACAACAGCAGGGGGCTGCTGTTGCTGCTGCTGTTGCTGCTGCTGTTGCACCCCTGCTGGGGAGTCCGGACCTTGCGAAGGCACTGTGCGCCCTTCCGAACCTGCAGGTACGGATAGAATAGCCAGACGAGCCGGTACAGCAGGGGCGGCAGGCACGTGCTCATCTGCATGCTCTTCCAAGTCGTCCTTAGGCGCGGGTTGCACGAAGCGCGTCTCCTTAGAGAACATCCAATCCAGGGCCGGCATGGCTCCAGGGCCGGCGGCACCCTTGGACGGCGGCGGCGCCATGAAGATGCCACTTGGTACAGCTTGATTGGTCGCAGCGGCCGCGACGGCTGCTTGGTTACCGTCTTCTGTGACTGAAGAACCCCCCGCACGGACCAGAGGCTTCGGCGAAGATTCGTGAGTACGAGTCTTTGTCTGCTTCCCACCTCGCCGGGGCCAGCTCGAGGCATCTCCGTTAAAGTCGCTCTCGTTTTCGTCACCCGAATGGCCGTCCGTGTGTCGATGTGTATCGACATCCTCCGTGCGCTGCCGATGGGTCTCGTTCGCCGTCACAGCGAACAGCCGCGATTGGTCCCACGCGGAACCGTCCACCACGTCCGACGTGCAGAATTGACGGCTAGCGGCTCCGGAGGCCACACGATCCGCGATCTTGTCGGCACCGGTCGGCATTTGTCGAGCCGCATCCATGGCTGCCGCGGCGGTCACGCCGTTGTTTCCCGCGCTCAGATGCGCGAGCGCAGGCGGTGCAGCGCACATTGCGGCGGGGAATCCGCCGATCTGGTTGGCTCCCAGCATCCCCAGTTGTTGCAACGCCATCTGTTGCTGCAGAAGCATAAGCGCTCCTTGCGGCGACATTTGCGGCGCCATTTGCGAGGCGATCTGGCGGAGGAGAATATCGCGTTCCGCCAGCGCAGCGGCTTTCGCCGCCTTCGCCGCTTCCTCCGCCGCAAGAGCCGCGGCGGCGCGGTCTTTGTACGAAGGCCGGCCACGCTTACGCGGGCGCAGCGTCTTGCTATCGTCCTTGGCGCTTCGCTTCGATCCGCGGCTCGAGAGCGAAGTCTGCGGGCCCGCGCTGACGGAGGCGTTGGCGATCTGAGTCGCCGCCAGCGCGCGAAGGAGCTGAAGCTGCGGGAGGGAAGTCGGCCCGCTCTGTGCTGCTGCGATGCCGTTCGGAATCAAAGCGACCTGATTAGCGGCGAGGTTCATCATAGTAGCGGCGTTTGCGGCGCCCAAGGGGAGTTGAAGTCCCGAGGAGGGCCAGCCCGTGGCGAAAAGAGGCGCAAAGGCGTTGTTGTTATTGACGGTCGTGGGAAGGCCGGTCGAGAGGAGAGACGCTAAAGCGCGCTGGCGCTGCTGCATCACTAATAAGAGCTCTTGCTGCGATGTTGACATGGTAAGCGATATTTCTGAAAGTGAAAAAAGAGGTTCCGAAAGTGGACGTGTCCAGGAACAGCTAAGACAAGGAATGCAAATCCGATGCAAATGGTGTTGCTGGAGGAACTAAAAAAGAAAGACTTCTTTGTGCGAAGAGGAATTTGTGAGAGAGGACGAGGAGAGAATCGAGTTGTACAAATCGTGCTCGACAATCAACTTGTTAGTTAATCGTTATGCCTCACCATCTTTATCCTCTGGTCTCTCTCCACCCGCCTGTAATTCCGTCTCATCTCGGTGTTGGTTGGTTTGTTCTGTGTTGTCTGCCAATCGCAATCACCACCAGCCCACCGTGCGGAGCCATGCCTAGTTGGCGCACGCGATGGCGGTGACCCTTGTTCCCCGCCCACCTCTTCACGTGGGGCCACCACATTGTTGAGGTGTGGGTTGATGCTGTGCACTGTACATGGTGTCCCGCATGCTTCCAGCTGCTTTCTCACTGGACCATTCTAGAAGGCCGACGTGATCGGAGCTCCTGCCCCGCCCCACGCAGTTATTACGCTGGTTGCAGTGCATGTGCGCACCGCTCAACTCAACCAGCTAGGCTTGTCGCATCAGCTGGAGCAGCAATGCTCACCACCTCCCTATGACAGACGTGCACTTTTCAGTTTCCAGACAGTTTTGCCTTTTCTGATTGTAAGGGGGAAAACCTTTTGACACATGTTTTGTATTCAAATATAAATCGTGAAATCTGACACTGAGAGAGCCGTCTACATACATTAAACGAATGAAAAAAAAACTCTACAAAGCTCTCCCTGGTCTGGCAAAATATGTTTCGGCACTGGAGAGAGCAACATTAACTTGACGCGTGCGTAGCCACGACTCGGAGGTCAGGACTGTCACGTGATTCAGCGTTAATTAGCGGCATGTGACGCTTGGATGTAATCTTCCAAAGGTTCCAATCTGCTAATCACCAATGAGAGGAGAGAGAACTGCTGCTTTACTGGTGGAACACGGGTGAAACAGCAAACCTGCCTCTCACATGTTCAAGCTGGATTGCTCTGTAGCAGTTTCGTTTTCCTGCGTAGAATACTATTATCCTTCACTGCCTAACTTTTCCTTGGGCTGTTGAAAATGGTTATGTTAAAACCGGAAAATCAGAGTGTAGTTGAGTATCACCAAACTATTATTATATCCATGGTTTCTTCTAGGGCAGAAAACATATCAGAACCAGCATCTGCCTTTTCCTAACATTGCCTACTTGCCAGCGTGACAGAATCATGTGATGTAAATGCTGCTTCACGTTTGAAATGATTAAGGGTGAGCGTCCTTTTTGTCTCGTATTGCAATCGACCCCAACTCTCAGGAGCACTCGCACATTGCTGTTATGTGACAACTGACCCATAGGTTTCCCGTTATGGGACAACAAATCGTTGGGAGATGCCCGAGAAGTTTGTTAACATCTGTCGCAACATTATCCTTATGCGGTGTAGGCATCCACAAAACAATGTTTTTTCCTGCCCCTAGTTTCCTTGAGCGCGTCAAGCTTTGTGCAAGAATGGGATCTTGTTATGGACGCGTCGCATTGCATTGCATGAACCGATGTGGTCTTCGGTTCTCCCTGAACTGAAGCCAATCAACGTGAGACAGGGCAGTGCTTCGCATTTTCTGCGAGACAACCAATCCGTGTCCCGAGAAACGTTTGTTGGCTCTACGCAGAAATTCGGGGGTTTGGGCTTGAGCTTTTCCACATAAGGGAGCCATCGGTGAGATTCCCGATCAACATCCTATCTTCGCCGTCAAAATCCTCGTTGGAGGATTCTTCAAGTTTGGACTCGGTATTTTTAGCCAAAATAACACAAATTAACATTGTCATCTTTGAGCTCATGCAGTCTTTCACAGTAAATTAATGCGCACCTGCATGATCAGAGGAGATAACAACACTGCATGTCGATAGAAAACCACCATACCATTGTGTTAAGGTCAACATGTCATTATCAATGCTCACGTGCATGATAATGAAATATACCGTATACCTAATTGCACTCACATAAGGAATGCTAATTCGAAATAGACTATTGGGGTCTTGGAATACCCTTTTTATGTGCTTTGGCATATTATACATGTCTCATTTCATATAATTTCACGTGCTGCATCAATGTGAGGGGCCTGGAGGTCGTTTGGGTGGAGCGGAAGGATATCGAGCAGGATTTTGGATGGCACGCTCCATGGGTGGATGCACTACCTGGTGGATATGCAGGTGTTGAGGCAGGGTAGGGTGTTAGGAAAATTTAATTGTAGTATGCTTGTCGTAGTGATATAGCATTTTCTTGTGCCATCCCATTCCATCAGATCAGACACTCACTCACTCTCTCCTTCATCAACCACACCCTTTACCTCTCCTCCCTTATTGTGTCTAGCTACATTTTGTATACAGGTTTATTATATAGTTAGTAAATCAGGGTCAGAAGCAAAAACGCATCCTAAGTTGATACAGAGTACAATTCGAGCAGAATCACTGAGGCTAGGGACGTATTGCGCTTACTGAAGGCTGAACTTAGGGTTGAAGAATTGAATTCAGTGTTTTAGGGTGTTTGTCAACCTTGGCTAGGGTGTGATTCGCAGCTGCGGCGAGTGCAAAGCAGCAGACTCGCGGCTCAGCGCGTCTTGTTCCAGTACCACTCTATATACTGGTGACCTTCAAGTAAGTCTGGTGACTTTCAAGTAAGTCACTTAAGTTCCATTTCCACGCTTTTCGTTCTGGTACAATGAGACGGAACGAAGATAGTAAATACTGTTCCTGATATACCAATACAATGGGACGTTATGGGGATGGAGGGGATGGGGTGGGAAAGGAAGGGGAGGGAAAGGAAGTGAAGGAGAGGGGAGAGGGCACGGCGGAGGTGAGAGAAGGGGGGATGCAGGAAGAGGAGGAGCGAAGGAGGAAGCAGGAAGAAATGTGTCGAGGGGCGATGGGAGCAATGGGAGCAGCGGGAGCAGCGGGAGCAGCGGGGGCAGCGGGAGCAGCGGGGGCAGCGGGAGCAGCGGGGGCAGCGGGAGCAGCGGGGGCAGCGGGAGCAGCGGGAGCAGCGGGGGCAGCGGGGGCAGCGGGGGCAGCGGGAGCAGCGGAGGCGACAAGAGTGATCGCAGAGGCAGGGATTCTTGCGCCAAGTGGCCGCGATTCGCGGAGGAAGTCTAGGGCGGGTGGGGATGAGGAGGAGGAGAGAGAGGGGACTTTTGAGTCGACTCAGGAGGCAAGGGTTGCGGGGCCAGTTGGCCGTGATTCGCGGAGGAAGTCTAGGGCGGATGGGGATGAGGAGGAGGAGGAGGAGGAGGAGAGAGAGGGGGAGACGGACGAGCGGGGTAAGGGTCGGAGGGAGGAGCGGAGTGGGGAGGATGGAGCAGCGGGGGGGACGAGCATGGAAGAGGGGCGGGACGAGCGGGGGAAGGGAGTGAAGGGGGAGCGGAGGGGGGAGGAAGGAGTAGCGGGGAAGATGGGAAAGGAAGAGGGGAGGGGAGATATTCCCACCACTGAAAGGGTTACCAAGCAGGTGGTGCTTCATTCAACTGCGAAGGCGAAGGAGTGTGAGAAGGGAAAGGAGTGTGAGAAGGGGAAGGAGTGTGAGAAGGGGAAGGAGTGTGAGAAGGGGAAGGAGTGTGAGAAGGGGAAGGAGTGTGAGAAGGGGAAGGAGTGTGAGAAGGGGAAGGAGTGTGAGAAGGGGAAGGAGTGTGAGAAGGGGAAGGAGTGTGAGAAGGGGAAGGAGTGTGAGAAGGGGAAGGAGTGTGAGAAGGGGAAGGAGTGTGAGAAGGGGAAGGAGTGTGAGAAGGGGAAGGAGTGTGAGAAGGGGAAGGAGTGTGAGAAGGGGAAGGAGTGTGAGAAGGGGAAGGAGTGTGAGAAGGGGAAGGAGTGTGAGAAGGGGAAGGAGTGTGAGAAGGGGAAGGAGTGTGAGAAGGGGAAGGAGTGTGAGAAGGGGAAGGAGTGTGAGAAGGGGAAGGAGTGTGAGAAGGGGAAGGAGTGTGAGAAGGGGAAGGAGTGTGAGAAGGGGAAGGAGTGTGAGAAGGGGAAGGAGTGTGAGAAGGGGAAGGAGTGTGAGAAGGGGAAGGAGTGTGAGAAGGGGAAGGAGTGTGAGAAGGGGAAGGAGTGTGAGAAGGGGAAGGAGTGTGAGAAGGGGAAGGAGTGTGAGAAGGGGAAGGAGTGTGAGAAGGGGAAGGAGTGTGAGAAGGGGAAGGGGGGTAAGGGGAAGGAGGGTGAAAAGGGCAAGGAGTGGGAGGAGGGGAAGGAGAGCGAGAAGGGGAGGGAATGGGGGAAGGGGAAGGAGGGTGAGAAGGGGAAGGAAGGTGAGAAGAGGAAGGTGGGTGAGAACGGGAAGGAGGGTGGGAAGGAGGGGAAGGAGGGTGGGAAGGAGGGGAAGGAGGGTGGGAAGGAGGGGAAGGAGGGTGGGAAGGAGGGGAAGGAGGGTGGGAAGGAGGGGAAGGAGGGTGGGAAGGAGGGGAAGGAGGGTGGGAAGGAGGGGAAGGAGGGTGGGAAGGAGGGGAAGGAGGGTGGGAAGGAGGGGAAGGAGGGTGGGAAGGAGGGGAAGGAGGGTGGGAAGGAGGGGAAGGAGGGTGAGAAGGAGGGGAAGGAGGGTGGGAAGGAGGGGAAGGAGGGTGGGAAGGAGGGGAAGGAGGGTGGGAAGGAGGGGAAGGAGGGTGGGAAGGAGGGGAAGGAGGGTGAGAAGGAGGGGAAGGAGGGTGAGGAGTCAAGCGAGGCAGTGAAAACTGTTTCTTCCGTGCCAATCGCTCCTCCTGTTGCATCAGTTAGAGCTGCATCAGGCTCAACAGGCTTAGCTGTAGCAGGCACAGACGCAGCAGCAGCAGTTACAGCGTCAGTTGCACGTCAGCAAGAAATGCAGCGGCAAGGGAAAAAGCAAGAAGAGCAGCAGCAGGAGAAGCAGCAGCAAGAGATGCGTCAAGAGAAGCAGCAAGAGAAGCAGCAGCAAGTGAAGCGGCAGCAAGTGAAGCAGCAGCAAGTGAAGCAGCAGCAAGTGAAGCAGCAGCAAAAGAAGCAGCAGCAAGAGAAGCAGCAAGAGAAGCAGCAAGAGAAGCAGCAAGAGAATCAGCAAGTGCAGCAAACGTCAGAAAATCAGGATGTGGTAACAGGCACCAGCCAACGCTCTATGGGTCCACCTCATCCTACCGTGCTGAACCAGGCCCAACCACTCTCTACCCCTTCATTACCTGCCGCACCTAATCAGCCACCCAAACTCCCCGCCAGTTCCCCTCCTGCCACACCTAGCCATTCTCCACCACTCTCTACCCCTCCCCTACCTGCCATCCCACCACAAGCACAACCAGTGCATGTGGACAGAGAGAGAGAGCACGGGGAGCCGTGGGGCGGAGTGGGGAAGGTTCAGTTCAAACCAGAGAGAGGGAGTGAGAAGGGAGAGGCACAGGAGGGAGTGGGGAAGGTAGGGTGCGAACCAGAGAAAGAGGGTGAGAAGGGAGAAGCACAGGAGGGAGTGGGGAAGGTAGGGTGCGAACCAGAGAAAGAGGGTGAGAAGGGAGAAGCACAGGAGGGAGTGGGGAAGGTAGGGTGCGAACCAGAGAAAGAGGGTGAGAATGGAGAAGCACAGGAGGGAGTGGGGAAGGTAGGGTGCGAACCAGAGAAAGAGGGTGAGAATGGAGAAGCACAGGAGGGAGTGGGGAAGGTAGGGTGCGAACCAGAGAAAGAGGGTGAGAAGGGAGAAGCACAGGAGGGAGTGGGGAAGGTAGGGTGCGAACCAGAGAAAGAGGGTGAGAAGGGAGAAGCACAGGAGGGAGTGGGGAAGGTAGGGTGCGAACCAGAGAAAGAGGGTGAGAAGGGAGAAGCACAGGAGGGAGTGGGGAAGGTAGGGTGCGAACCAGAGAAAGAGGGCGAGAAGGGAGAAGCACAGGAGGGAATGGGGAAGTTGCGTGCAGAGCCAGAGGCAGAGGCAAAGGTGAAGAGGAAGAAGCTGAAGCGGTTGAGTAGCATACATGTGACGCAAGGGGGTGGGGAGGAGAAGGAACCGGGTTCATGCCGAGAAGGGATTGACGGGAGGGGCGCGTGCAGCAACAGCAGGCGCTCTGGCGCCTCAGGGAGTGATGGGGAAAGGAAAGGAGCCTTAGAGATTGGCGGGGTTACTGGGCCTGATGTGGTTGCCAGGATTGATGGGGAAAGAACCGGTGCTAGTGAGAGGGATGCGTCTGGGGAAGGGAGTGAGAAGGAAGGAGGATCGGAGTGCGTGGGTGTGCGAGGGAGGGACGACGAGGGAGAGGCGAGACGACGTGGTGAGTTGGAGGGGGGAAGAAGGGGAGGTTTTAAGGTGCGGAGAGAGGGGGAGGAGGAGGAGGGGGAGGAGGAGGAGGGGGAGGAGGAGGAGGGGGAGGAGGAGGAAGGGGAGGAGGAGGAGGGTGAAGGGGAGAGGACGGGGCGTTTGGATGAGAAGAGTGGGCGGAGGGAGGAGTGTGTTGGGAGGGAAGGGGAAGGAGTGCGTGAGGGGAGTGATGGGGGGGAGTTGAAAGGGGAGGGGAGGAAAGGGGAGGAGAGGAATGGGGAGGAGGAGATGAAAGGGGAGGAGAGGAAGGAATGCAGGGCAGCAGAGAGCGGAGGTGGATGTGTGGTGCAGGGGAGGGAGGCGAGGGCGGTGGGGGAGGAGAGGGAGGAGGGGGAGGAGAGGGAGGCGGGGGAGGAGAGGGAGGAGAGGGAGGAGAGGGAGGAGAGGGAGGAGAGGGAGGTGACAGCAGCTGTTGCTGACTCGGTGGCTGCTTCTTCTGCTGCTCATGGTGCTCATGGTGCTGATGGTGCTGATGGTGCTGATGGTGCTCATGGTGCTCATGGTGCTGATGGTGCTGATGGTGCTGATGGTGCTGATGGCGCTGATGGTGCTGATGGTGCTGATGGTGCTGATGGTGCTGATGGTGCTGATGGTGCTTACACTCGAATTGGTGCTGCTGATGGTGGTGGGGTTTGGGATGCGAAAGGTAAAGAGAGCAGTCGATTCAAGTTCCAATCCAGCGGTCAACGAAACAGCGAAGCAGGTCTAGTGCGTGGTGGCAAGAATAGTGACATAGGCTTTAAGGATCGTGGATGCTTGCAGAGGGATTGTGCAATGGAGTGTGAAGGGCGGGACGATGGGAAGGGAGAGGCGAGGGGCGGAGGGGGGGACGAGCAGAGGGACGAGAGGAGGGGAGATGGGAGGGGTGAAGGAGGGAACGAGGGCAGGGGAAAGGGGATGGGCGAAGGAAGGAGCGAGGGAATGGGAGAGGAGAAGGAGGGGGAGAAGAAGAAAGGAAAAGGGGAGGAGGACAAAGAGGAGGAGGAGGATAAGGAGGACGAGAAAGAGGAAGTGGAGAAGGGGGAGGAGAAGGGAAAGGAGAAGGAGAAGGAGAAGGAAAAAGAGGAGAAGGAGAAGGAGAAGGAGAAGGGGAAGGGGAAGGAGAAGGAGAAGGGGAAGGGGATGGAGAAGAGGAAGGAGAAGGAGAAGGGGAAGGAGAAGGGGAAGGAGAAGGAGAAGGGGAAGGGGAAGGGAAAGGAGAAGGAGAAGGGGAAGGGGAAGGAGGAAGAAGGAGCGAGAACGACGAAAGTAGGCCGAGAAAAGTTGCAGGAGAAAGGAAAAGGGAGCTTCCAAGGAGAAGAGAGTGGAGACGTCTCAGAGGGGGATGAGGAGGAGGGAGGGGAGGATGTAGTTATGATTGAGCCCGCAGGAAGAGGGGGGAGAGGGAGGGGCGGGAGGGGAGGGAGGGGAGGGAAGGGTAGTAGAGGAAGGGGTGTGAAAGTGGACCAGGGGAGGGGGAGTCGTGGTGGTGGCGGGAGGGTGGGTGGAAGGAGGGGAAGGGGGAGGGGGAGGGGGCGAGGAGGGAGAGGAGGGCGATATGGGGGAGGGAGTGGGCGTGGGAGGGGAAGGTCGGTGGAGAGGGAGGAGGAGGAAGAGGAGGAGGAGAGTGAGGGGACGAGTGAGGAGAGTGAAGACGAGGAGGAGATTAGACAGAGGAAGGTTGGGCGTCAGGGGATGGAGGGGAAGAGGGTGGAAACTGGAGGAGACGACAAGGAGAGTGGGAGAAAGAAAGAGGAGGAGGAATGTATGGGAAGGAAGGAGGAAGAGGAGGAGGAGGAGGAGGAGAAGGAAGATGATGTGGCACGGATGGGACGGAAAGAGGAGGAAGGAAAGGACGATGAAATGGGAAGCAGGAATGAGGAGAGGAACGATGAAATGGGAAGCAGGAATGAGGAGGAGAACGGAGGGAAGGAGATGGGGGGTGGGGAGATGGAAGAGGAAGCTATGGAGGAAGGAGGAAGGGAGGGTGAGGTCAAAAGAGGTGATGATTGTGATGGTAATGGTGAAAAAGAGGAAAAGAAGGAAGAGGATGAAAGTAAGGAAGAGGAGAATGAAGGGGTGGCGAATGATCCTGGTAGGGTAAGGAGTGCGGGGAAGCTTCTGGAAAAGAGGCGGCTTGAGGAGGAGGAGGAGGGGCAGGGGAAGATGAAAGAGCAGGTGGTTGAGAGGCAGCGGGAGGAAGAGGAGCAGGACGATCATGCTGTTTCTGATGCTGCTGCTCCTGCTGCTGCTGCCGCTGATGCTGCTGCCGCTGATGCTGATCCTTGTGCTTCTGCTGCTGCTGCTGCTCCTGCTGCTCCTGCGGCTGGTGATGCTTCCGCTGCTGCTGCTGCTTCTGCTGCTGCTTCCGCTGCTGCTGCTGCTTCTGCTGCTGCTTCTGCTTCTCCTGACGATGCTCATGAGGCCAATGAGGATGATACTGACGATACAGATGACGAGGATGATGATGATGACGACGATGTGAGGGTGGTGAAGGGAGAGAGCCAGGTGAGGCGAACAAGGGACAGGGACAGGGAGAGGGAGAAAGGGCTCCCCCGCCGGGATGTCATGAAGCTCAGAGCAGTACGAGAGCTCAAGGGATTCGCAGGCAAGCAGGACGTGGGACCGGGAGGAGAGAAGCTCGGGTTTGTCCCGTATGTCTCGATGGGTATCAGCCCTCTGGCGCTGCAGGGAGAGACTGTGCGCAAGATTCATCGAATGCGGACGCCGCGTCCGTCCTTTGTGAAGTTTGTCACCCGCCACGTCATCGCGACCGCGGATAAGGGCCTGGATCTGCCCGGGCCGTTTGTGAAGCGCCACCTGGCGGGGTCCGATCGGATGGCTGTGATTGGCCCGGGCGGGCGGCGGTGGGATATGCGGTGGGGGGTGTACTCGAAGGGAGTGCCAGTGTATAGGCTGAAGGACGGGTGGGGGGGGCTGGCTGGGACGCTCGAGTTACAGGAGGGAGAGGCATTGGTTTTTGAGGTGGAAAAGCCGAATTTGCTGCGGCTGCATCTGGTGAAGTTTGGGCAAGATGTGGTGCTGAATACGAGTCCCATGGTGGTGCCACGTATGAGGGAAGTGGCGAATGCAGGTGAAGCTGCTGGTGCTGCTGCTGCTGGTGCTGCTGCTGGTGCTGCTGGTGGCAGTGGTGATGCGGCTCTAGCAGATGATGCTGCCGATGAGAACGGAAAGGGGCTGGTGGGTGGAAGAGGTGGCTTCGGGGCGAAAGAGATGGGGGTTAATGCGAGGAGTGAGCTGGCAGCGGGAGAGGGGAAGGAGATGGGGATGATTGGGAGGAAGAAGAGGAGGAGGAAGCTGCTGGGGAAGGCAGGAGGTTTTGCACATGGTCACAAAGGGGAGGTGGAGGAAGAGGAGGGGGAGGAGGGGAGTGAGGGGAAGGAAAGGCATGAGGAGGAGGAAGATGGGGGTGAGGAGGGGGGAGAGGAAACGGGGTGGAAGGATGGGTTGAGGCATGAGAGGAAGAAGGAGAGGGAGAATGAGAGGGAGGATGAGAGGGCGGGAGTGGGGGTAGGAGAACGGATGGGGAGTGCAGCAGAGACGGTGACAGGCAAAGGGGAAAAGAGATTCAAGATGAGCAGTGTTAAAGTGGGAGTGAAAAAGAAGAGACAAAAGGCACTGGGACAAGGCACAGGGGTGCCAGTCACACCTGCTCCGGGTGTCCCTCCTTCCCCAACCACTGCTGCTTCTCGCCCTGCAACCACCGCCCATGGGATTCCGCCCTCTCCTCTCGGGCCTCCATCATCCAAACCTGTCTCTGCTGCACCTGCTCCTGCTCCTGCTGCTCCCTCTCTTTCTCCTGCTCCTCCCGCTGCCCCCACTGTGTGTGCCGCGCCTCATCCTCCCTTGAAGGGGCGAGTGCGTGTGGCGCCACCAGGGGGGTGGAAGGTGGCTCGCCTCGTGCCCTCCACTCGAGCCACTCGCCCCGTGCCCTCCCCTGCTGCTCGTGCTGCTGCTGCTGCTGGTGCTGCTCCTGCCCCTGCTGCTGCCAGTGGTGCAACTTCAGCAGCAGCAGGCGCAGGAGCAGCAGCAACGAGAACTGAAGCAGCAGCAGCAGCAGCAGCAGGAGCAGCAAGAGCAATAGGGGCAACTGACGATGGGAACATGAAAGGGCAGGACAGCGGCACGGGCGACCCGTACCTGGCCACGCTGCTGTGGGTGCAGCGAGTGTGGGCCGAGCACCAAGCAGCTTTGGTCCGAGCAATGGAAGAGCAGGAGGAGCAGCAGGAGGAAGAGGATGCGAAAGAGGCGGAAGTGAAGGCGAAAGAAAAGGCGGAAGAGGAGGTGAAGGCCGAGGGGGTGGTGGAGGGAGAGGAAACGGGGGAAAAGGAGGCAAAGGGAGGTTTGGAGAGGGGGAGAGAGGGGGGAGGAAATGGGGAAGGGCGGGATGAGGGGTGTGCGGATAAGGGGGATGATGAAAAGGAGGGGGACGGGGGAAGGAAAAGGCAGCGGAGGGAGGATGAGGTGGAGAAAGACGGGCCGGAGAAGAGAGGAGTGAGTGCCAGTGGTGGTAGTGGTCTTGGCAAAGGCTCTGGTAATGGGAATGGTAGTGGGTATGGGAATGCTTATAACAAGTACAGATACAACAAGTATGGTTACGCTTACGGGTTTGGTTGGATGGGGGGTAGATTGGGTGGGAGGAAGCGGCGGAGGAGAGGCAGAGAGGAGCGGGATGAGAAAGGATCATACAAGGTGAACTCGAGATGGCGCATCTCTCTCACTGGCGTCACCATTGTCCCTCCTCCTCCCCCCCTCACTCACCCTAATTGGCCTGTTCCTCCTCCTCCTCCTCCTCACCACCTCTCTCCCTCCTCTCCCCCTTGCTGTCCTCCTCTGGCTTCTACCACTCGTCCCGTTTCCCCCGTCCCTCATGCTGCTTCTGTAGCTGCTGCTGCTGCTGCCGATGCGACTGCTGCCACTGGTGCTGCAGCCCCCTCCGCCACAGAAGCAACCCAAGGGCGGACACAGACGTCACAGCAGGAAGGGAAGCAGGCAGGGAAGAAGGCAGGGAAGGTGCCAGGGAAGCTTCCAGGGAAGCAGGGGGCAAAGGCAGCGGGAGGGAAAGGGGTGGGAGCTAAGAAAGGAGGGGCAAAGGCAGGAGGGAGCAGCAAGCAGGCAGCAGTGGGCATCGATAATGCACCCGCAGTGGCAATTGTTTCCCCTCAGGTGAACCGAGCTCCCAGTCCCTCTGCTGCTGCGGCTCCAGGTGGTTTTGCAGAAGCACCTGACGAAACACCTGATGCAACACCTGAAGGGAAACTGGGAGGAATGCCTGGCGAAACACCTGGGCCTTTTAAAATCCCTGCCAAGAAGGCTGTCAAGGCACGTGCCAAGACACAGAACAAAGCACCTGGAAAATCGCCTGGCAGTTCTCCTGCCAAAACTCCTGAAAAATCACCTGGTTTGAAACCGGCCGGAGAGAGGGTGCCACGGAGGGGTATGAAGGGGCAGTGGGTGCGGGCCGGGGCAGATGTTGAGTCGAGAGGCCCGTTGGGGTCGAATGTCCGTCCGGATCTAAAAGACCAGTCAGAGTGGAGAGGCCTTTCAGAGTCTGCCCAGAGGAGTAAAGATGGTGGTTCGGTGGAGGGGGGGGATGGAAGGGAAGGGGAAAGGGAAGAGGGGGAGGAATGGGACGAGGAAGGGGACAGGGAAGGGAATGGGGCAGGGGAAGGGGTGGAAGAAGGGGAGGAAGAGGAAGAGGAAGAGGAAGAGGAGGTGGAGGTGATTGAAGCTGGTACTGCAACCATGAAACCCACCAGTGCTCCCCCTTCCACCACCACCACCACTGGCACCACCACTGGTGGCACCGTCCCGAACACTATTACACCACTTTCCACCAATCCCACCACCACCACACCCACCACCACCACGACCACGACCACCACGCCCCCTCCCACCAGCCCTACCAGCAGCGCTCTCAGCAGAAAGGCTTCGCTTCGGAGCCGAGTGCGCCTGCCTGCCACCACTGAGTACCTAGGCGTCACTCTCAAAGCCCCCGGCAAGTACCAGGCGCGCATGCTGGCGCGGGACGGGACACGTCAGCGCCACGTAGGATTCTATGCCACCGCGGAGGAGGCTGCGCTGGCGTATGACGTGGCAGTGCTGCGCGTGCACGGCGCGCAGGCGAAGCTGAACTTTCCGGCGGATGAGCGGGGAGGGGAGGAGGCGTCGGGCGGGGGGGGTGGTGATGTGGCAGGTGCGGCGCCAGGTCAGCATTTGCGGAACTCGGACAGTTCGCTGTCTTCTCAAGGGAGAGCTGGAGCCGAAGCTGCGGGCGAGGGTGGGGCCGAAGCTGATGTCGAGGCTCGGAAAGGCTTGGAGAAATCAGCAGTGAATAAGAAAGAGAAAGGCAGGGAAGAGGAGGATAAGGACAGACTGACCCCATCAGAACCGCCTTCCCCAGTTGTTACCTCTTCTGCGATGCTACCTCCCCCAGTCCCCTCCTCCACAGTCAGTCGCAAGGTGAGGAAACGCCATCCCCCTGGGCCCCGCCCCTCTGCCCTGGCCCCATCTGCCTCCAAGAGCGCTGCTCAGGTGTTTTCTCAGGTGCCCCCTCAGGTGCCAGCTGGCCAGGTGTTTTCTGAGGTGCAGGTGGGGAGTGAGGGAGGTGTGGTTGGGGTGAGGGTGGTGGGTGAGGAGCTTGAAGGGAGTGCAACGGAGATGGTTGGGGTGGTGGTTGGGGAGGTGACTATAACGGGGGCAATGGGGGCAGTGGGGGCAGTGGGGGTAGTAGGGGAGGTGAGGACAGAGGACGGAAAAGAGGGACAGGAGCAGGGAGAGGTTGCTACAGCCCGAGCTGCCAGGTGTCAGCAGATGATTGGGCCAGAGAGGGACACTGTGAAGAGCGGCGGGAGGGGTGAGATGATGGGAGGGTCTGGGCAGGTGGAGAGCGGTGGGGATGGGAGTGGGAGGGCTGAGAGCGGTGGTGCTGTGGACAGTGCGGTGCAGGGGGATGGAGGGAGGTGTAGGGGTAGGGTCAGGAAGAGGCAAAGGCAAGGTAGGGATGGGGTTGAGCAGTGGGAGAAGCAGCAGGGGGGTAGAGGCGTGGGGAGAGGCATGGGGCGGGGTATGGGAAGGGGCATAGGCATAGGCATGGGCACGGGCATGGGCATGGGCACGGGCATGGGCACGGGCATGGGCATGGCAACGGGAATGGGCATGGGCACGGGCATGGGCATGGGTACGGGCATGGGCATGGGTACGGGCATGGGCATGGGTACGGGCATGGAATGGGTAAGACCACAGGAGAAGGAGGGCACAGAGGAAGAGCATGCGGCTATGCCTTGTCAGCAGCAGCAGCAGCAGCAGCAGCAGCAGACAGAATCATCAGCCCCTGCATTAGCCGTTCCTCTTCTGCCCTCCTCCCCCCATCCCGCGCTCCTCTCCCTCCCCAACATGCCACCCCCATCGCGCCGTCCCTCCCCCGCCCCCGCTCCTACCACCACCACAAGTCCCCTCACTCCGCCCCCTGCACCCGCGTCCTCACAGCCCCGATCCGGACCTATTTCTTCCGAACGTGTTTCTTTCGAACCTGAGGATCTCAGGTCAGGTTCCAGACCTGTAGGTTCCGAACCTGCTGGTGCGCCAGGCGATGCTGGTGGTGTGGGTGGGTTGAATAAGGACGGTGCTCAAGGGTGTGAGAGCAGTGGTGGTGGTGGTGCTGCTGGTGGGGATGGTGGGGAGGTTGGGAGGGGTGGAGGGTGGTTGAGGGGCTTGGATTTGAATGAAGAGTGTGAGGATGCTGTTAGGGAGGCTCGGAAAGAGGGAGGGGGTGCTGGGGTGGGAGACAAAGCAGCTGAGACGGGTACACCACGTGCAGCCCTCGCAGATTCTGCTGCTGCAGAAGCAAGTGAGGAATCAGCAGCAGCAGCACCGGCTAGTTACACTGGTGCCTCTGCTGCTGCTACTACTGCTACTGCTGCTGCTGCTGGCGCGACGGCGCATGGTGCTTATGCAGGGTGGGGCGATTCAAGGAAAGAACAAGGGGTGGCAGCAGCACCAGCGACATCAGCGGCAATGG